AAATTTTAATTTAAAACATTCTGTCAATTGTAATTTCCTTTTTTGTTGACACAATATTCAATTTGCATTTTTTCTTTTAGATATACAAATTAATTTAAAATTATCTTCTTTTTCATTTATTTTATACTGAATTTCATTCTAATTTTCACCGATTGCAGGATGATAATATAAAAAGAATGTAGCAGGTAAGTATAATATTTTGAATCTAATCTGTAACTTCTAAGATTTTCCATACAACCTTCTTTCAAACAGGATCAGAAAATTCATCAGTCATTTGCTGCCCCGTCAGCAAGATTAAATCACGTCTCCTCTCCTCATTCAAATGCAATCTGGCGAGAAAAGCGCCGAAACGAGCCGGAAGCAAGTCTCAGTCAAGTGCGAAAGATAATAATTGTGGCGCGGCCACTTAATCAGCCACCCTCGAAGCGACCATTCATCCGCACCGCGTCGATAAAGGTGTTTGGATAGGGCTAGTGTGCTTGTTGCAAGACGGACGCAGGCCATTAGCTCTTGTGTGTCGTTTCAAAAAGCAGCACTTCGACGCACATGCACTTGACAACGTGTGAATTTAATGGAGAGTCTCTCGCTCATATGTGACGCCGAAAGAGAGAGAGGGCCGGGGGTTAAGGGAGGACAAGTTTCAAAGCTATTACCGACCCGTAAAAACGCCGCCACCGCCGGAGAAAGTGTGTAAAACTCTCTCCAGGAATTTCTCTCCCTTTTGCCCGTCGAGAAAATTTTATTTGCAGCCCGGCTGTTGGAGAAATACGCAGACTTTTATTATCGGATTGAGTGACGCGTGCGTCAGGAATTTATTTTCGTGCGCGCAAAAGGTGTGATGGTCGTCGGGGGAGTCACTTTTCTTCCAATTCGGATTAAGGTAAGTGCAACGTGTGTGTCAACCGCGATTATGGAAATGCACCGCGCGAGTCAGACAATCCATCAGGATGTGTTGGCTGTCAAATTTCCTCGACTGCGGTTGTCGGTCGGAGAGCAGCTGTTGAATTTTTAAGGGGTGTCGAGCACAAAGGGTTGCTTTTCCCTCACTGCGAACGAAAACACAATTTTTGCATTTGGCGCCGACGACGGACGAGACAGCACGCGTCACCCAACAATCCGGATATTAAAAAAAAATCGAAGCGAGAGCCAAACACTTCTGCCGCCGATCAATATGCAATTCAAACAGAAAAATTTTCAGATAAAAAAGAAAAAGTGCTTTAATTTCTCTCGTAAAATGATCAAATAAACTAAAACGGAGATGATCCGCCGATGAAAAAAGTTATGACATAAAAAGCAATAATTCATTTTCCGTCCCCGCTCTCCGTCGATATGCAGCGAATAATTGGCTTGGGGGAGAGATAAAACAATGATTGCAGCCCATAATCCGCACGCGGCAGTCGAGAGAGGGCCCCTCGGGGTACCACCAGAGAATTATTAAAAGATTTCTTCTTCTTCTCCCCCTTTAATATTAAACTCTTCCTGTATAATAATAAATGTATCTGCGAGATCTTTTAGTGGGATTCCAATAAAAACTGAATCAGAGGGCAAATCATTAAACGGAATGACAGAAAATGAGAGCAAAAAAAGATGTATGAAGGGTAATAAGTTATAAAAATCCAGCAAATAGTGTTATAAATTTGAATTGTTTCTTTAAATTTTCTTTTTCAATATTTTTGACTCAAAGTACAATGTAATTTATAATTAACAAAACAATTTTGGTGCCTTGCATTAGCTCAATTGTTGTTAAAAAATGTTAAAAATTGTTATATTAAGAGAATAAAAATAATAAAATTTTATTTGCAACGAGTGATGAATGAATTATCCCTATTTTGGCCACACAAGTAAAGTTAAATAAATTAAATACATTATGTGCCAAATTTATGGAAAAACGCAAAGGTAATAACAAAAAATTCACTTAATGTTGTAAAATAGAAATTAAACATAAAAATAAGTTAATTTTTTGTTATAAATGTTAATTAAAAATTCATCTAACCTTCAAACGGCTGAAAATGGGTCCTCTGATAATATATGTGTATAAAATAAATGTTGAAACGCAAGTTTGCATTATTTTAAAATGTTTTTGTTTTACCTTTTCAATCAACAATACATAAAATACATTGAATATTTTTAAAGAGCAAACCCTCCTACAAATGTAACATTTTTGAAGCAAAACAAAATTGGAAGGCTTTTGTATGATATAAGGGATGAAAACTGCGTGGTCGTGCGTCCATCCTTGCAAAAAGATTAAGCAACAGTGTCTCCACGCGAGTGCACCGAGGGCGGAGGGAATCACAAAAGGGCCGGTGGGCACCGAACGGAGAATCCCTTAAAGCGTTCCGTCTCTCACAAAGACGGAGGAGATGCGCGCCGAGACAAAGGGAAAGAAAAGCGGTATAATACACTAGTATTCTGTCTCTTGGCTTACACGCGGCTTATCTTGTTACACATCACACCTGTCCATTTTTCAAAAAGCATTCTTTTTTTTCCGTGCAGAAACTTTAAAACTTTAAACTGGTGGATAATATTTATTTCGTCTTTGGAGACGGAAAGAAATTTCCCGAGCGATAAAAAGCAAAAAATGAGAGCTGGAAGGTATGTTTAGGGGCCGTAAAAGCCGAGTTTATTCCATTACGGGCGCTCTGCTCCGACGCAGCCTTAATCTTGATCGTAATTCAGGGGAGGAGGGCGATAATTTTATTTATAATATACACACGCCGAGGAGGCACTAAATGAGCGATGAATCATGGCGAGGGCCTCTCCACATTATGCCGAGCAGCTTGGGTGTTAATGTTGCTGCTTTCCAGGATTTTGGCTTTGTTCGCCCCGCGCGCAAAGGGTGCGCAGATACATATAATGAGCGCTACTTTTGGCATAAATCACGACACCTTCTTTGTCCTCGGCCGGCCAAAATGAGATAATGAAAAAAAGACACCTTCTTTTCATTTTTAGCAAAAAAAAAAAAAAAAACTTGAGTGTGATGTTCTTTTAATTTTAGTATATTATAAATTGTTATAGGAAATTTGGATACGGCAAAAAAAATTAAGAACAACTTGTACCAAAAGAAAAGAAAATCAAAGTAAAACTATAAAATTGGTACAGATAAAATCAATATATTTCAAGTCATCTTCTGATTCAGCAATTTGATTGTTATTGCTAAAATTAATTTATTTATAAATAGTTTGAACATTTTTTTACTTGGATGCAAAACTGTGATTTTTGCTATGTATAATAAATTCTCAATAGATAAGTTATAATGCACGACACAATAATGAATTATAAACCTTTGATTTAAATTGCTCTTAATCCTTTTCATCAGAAATAAGCAGTACAACTATTTTTATACCCATCATTATTTTCTAATGTGGAAACTATGCAATTGAAATTTATGATGGTTCATTCTTCACAATACCTCAGAAAACAGTATTAAAAGAATAACCATTGTTACTGTAAGCTGATTTCCTCAATTATTATTGCATTGGCTGTTTTTATATCAATTTTTTTTAGTAATCTACCTCTGCTCAATGAGCTGACATGATTATCCACCCAAGTAGATTAAGTATTATTTTTTATTTTCCTCTCAAAAATTCTGAAGCAGAGAAAGCTCGTTAAAAGGAAGGTTTGCGCATCACAACAATGAGGGCGAATTCAAATGGTTGGAAAGCATTCTGATCTGGTAAAATTTTACTTGTACATATTCAGGGAGCTCAAACAACAATCAAACTATGATTAATTGCTGTGATGCGCTAACCTTGAGTAAAAGCAATATTTATCAAATTTATTGTTGGTAAGTTAATTTTCTAAATTTTTGCGCAAAATATTTTGGTAAACTTGTTAATATGAAGTTGTAAATTTTTTTGATCCATATTATATTTCAATATAAATTAATTGATGTAGAATATGAATAATTTTATAAACTGCTATTGTTTCTCATATTTTTATTATTTAAAATCATTATCATTCATAATATTCAAAATCATAAGTAGGATAAAAATGAACACACAGAAATTAAAAATAATTCATAATAAATAGCATATAATAAAAATTACATAAATTGAAAACAATCTGGAATTGTTATTATAAAATTATAATTCCCTTCAAGTCTAAAACCATTTCCACTCTTTGACCATTGTAATTGTGTTCAACGTGACGACGAGCCCTTGAGGGTTGTTATCGCACCCTCTAATATTGAAGTCTCGCAAAACAATGGGCGACTAACTAGACGAGTTCAGAATTATCCTATGTAAAATTTAAGTAGGGTCCGTCGATTCAGCCAGGCGTGAAATCTCTCCCATTCATTTATGGAGCGGCAGACAAACATAAGCTCAGGATTTAAAAAGTATGGCACATAGGTGCGTGCTCGCTTCACTTCCGCCGCCGTGTTGCTCCCACTTCCGGTACGCAAAATTGGAGCATACTACGTGTAGGTCCGACAGGTGGCCTAATTACACGCGCGGCACAAAAATGCTCATGCATAATCGCCTTCACGTCAGTCAGACAGACTGATTGCGAAATAAATCCGACCCGATCCCCACTTTGACGTCCTTTGATTTTTACATGAGAGTAAAAAAGCGGAAAAAAATCATTTTTATACAAAATCAGGGCACATTTCACATTTTTTTTTTCTTTTGGCAAATTCCGTTAACTTTTTTCCCCAGTTTATCTGTTGTCTATTTTTATTATCTGGTGTAAAATATATTTGAATCAAATTAAACAAAAATAATAAATAAAAAGATTTTAACATACATTTAAAAAAAGTTATAATTCTTATATTGTCAATGATGGAACGCACACACAAGTAAGTTTTAACGCAACCGCAAAATGCCAGAGCATTTTTACATGTTTGGTATTCGTGAAGGCAAACGCGAGTGTAACAAATACGACACGAACCGGCATAAATCTCCGAACAAATATTGACTGCGACTTCTTCTCCGTGCGGATGAATAAAAAAAAGGAAGAAGAGAGATGGAGGCTGTCAAAATGAATTTTTAAAAGGGACTTACCAAGCAGCAGCAGGACGCACAAAACACAGGCAGAGTATCTCAGTTTGGCGCACTTATCATCCATGGCTGCAGGTGGAGGCGGAACAAGCACGTGCCAATTCAGTGATTCGCCACAAGTACAGAGGATCTCACTTCTTAGTGCATCGCGTCACACACGTGCAAAAGTGCACCGTCGAGTGCGGCGGAGGCAAACTGACCGTGGACGCGCGAGTCGCGCCACCCTTTTGCAGACTGGCGACGCAGACCGGCGCATCTCTAGCTTATAACAGGGCCTCGGTCGCGAGCCCGCATGCGTTGCCAGCGGCGCTCGCTTCTCGAACCCATGCTGCCCCCGCAACTCCAACTCTCGAACCTGCAACACACAAATTATTTCTTTTCATTTTCATTTTGTTTATTTATTAATTTTTTATAAAAAAAAAAAATTTTTACTGTATTTTGCAGATATTTAAATTTATTCTATTTATTTATAATTAAACTTTAGTTTTTTTTAAATAATTTAAATTTATTAGTATGTTTCTTGACTTTAATGTTTTACATAATTACTTTCAAAGATAATTTGTAAACTTTAATTTAAATATAATTTTTGTACAATTCCCAGTTATGCAGCTTTTAATAATAAAGTTAACTAACATATCTGTAATGGCGTTTGAGATTTGATATATACAAACAATAAAATAATTTTATAAAATAAAAGGTATTAAATTATAAAAATTTCCAATTTCCCATAATATGTTTATGAAAAAAACTCATCAGACTGAATAGTGAATAGTAGCTAAAAACATTATTATGAGTTGATTAATTAAAACATGACGATGTATATTGGCAGCACTACCCCGAGAACAAGAGAGATATTTCATACAAGATGAGTAAATTTTCTCTGAATATCCATTTGCAAATTTGTTATACGGAAACAATCGGCAATGAGCCATTTTAGGATTGTTTTTTGTTGTTGTTGTTGTTGTTTTTTTTTTTTTTTTTTTTTTTGTATTTTATTATCTTGATCTCTCCTGTTATACATTCAGATTTAGAGTGTCCGGTGAAACATTAATAAACATTATTTGAAATGAAAATTTGAAAGAAAATTGCTAATTTCAAATGGAGAATTTTGATTAATCAAAAGTATTTATCACTTTGTATACAATCAGCTTCAAATTAATTAATTTAACCTAAAAATTACACACTATCATAAACTAAAAATTTATAGCGTCTCAACAACTGTGAGATTCTGCTAACTAAGACCAAGAGGAAAATTGAAAATAAACTTTCTCCCTAATTAAAAATCTCAAGTTCACAAGTTTCAGAAGCTTGCCAACTTTGATGAGACGAAATAAAAGCCAGTTTTTGTTTGAGAAAAGTCTCCTTTGTCAGGAGAGGAGAAGCACATACATACAGGGGGTTGACACGCAAAATTCGGCACTTTTTGTGAATGTAGGTACGTGGATGTGCGGCGCGCACGTTTCTCTCTCACATGCACAGAGAATGGGATATACTTTTCCCTTTGAACTTTTTTGATGATGCTGTTGCCCGGGCGGACGAGCGGCTGCTGATGGGAAAGACACAGAAAAAGTACTCGACGCGAGCGCACGTTCTTTTGTTTTAACACAGCTACCCGCCATGAAATTTTAATTACTTTTTTCAGCACTTGAGCCGGCGCAGCCAAAGATGAAAGAAAGCAAGGAAGGAAGCGCTGGCAGCGGAAAACCGAAGGCGTGACACACACAACTGGTGCCTTCAGAGGACGCCAATCTCTTAATTAAACAAGCCTCACAATTCTAAAAAAAGATTTTAATATGCTAATATAAGGAAGAAGTGGCAAGTAATCAAAAATTTCACCCCTTTTCTCAATTCAAGTAGTTTTTTTTTTATAACATGTTAATTCAGAATGTTAGCTTTTATCTTTCAAAATAGTTTTAATAGGTAGAAATTTGAAGTGAAAACCGTGTTACGTCTTCACTTTTTTGTATTCAAAAACCAAAATTGTCTAATACACGGCAATCGTAAGTGTCAGGATGCTGGAACCTTTTAGAGAATTTGAGTCATTTTGGAAGAACCATAAAATCAATAAATCATTTACAAAATAAAACTTTTATAAAAAATTATTCTGAAATTAATTAAAACACGATAAAAAATGGGCAATTAAATTACAATAATATTTTGCTACAAGCAAATTTAAAAAAACATTTTAATAATTCATTTTTACTTTATATGAGGGCAAATTTTTAATTTTTTTGAGATTTTTTTTCTTTCGGAACTTTTAGATAAAACAATAATTATTGTAATTTCATATTATTTTAATTATGATTAATTTACTTAACTATTCAATAGTAAAATGGTATTAACATAAAAAAAGATATACACGAACAAAACTTGGCTAATTTTTTTAGTTCAGCTGAGGTGCTGCCTGAGACCTGGATGGCTTAGTCAGTTTTAATGTGGGTCGTGCGGCATTACTGGAAAAGTGGGGTGCGGAAGAGTGAGCGAGATCCGCACACACTCTAACATTGCACGGCGGCGCGTCTCGCGGGAAATCACAGACTTCTGAAAAGAGCGTGATTGACAGGATATCGTGGTCTCCCGAGGTCAAAGGTTGCTCCGTGGTTTGAATACACTAGTCGGTTAGTTGATTGTGGCGCCGGCAGAGTTATTATTTACCCGCCGGCTATTGACTTTGCGCCAAAGTAAATCTGATCATTTGCTGCTTCGCGCGGCTAATTAATTATTCAGGGCGATTGCGAAAAGCCGCCGGCGAGTAGAGCAAGAGTGTGTTTACTTCGCCTCAATGAAACCTCAAAAGCCACCTTCCTACACGCAATGAATAAACATCAACATAATTAATTAAAAAACCTTTTTCATTATTACAAGAAAGTGGAAATTCCAAACACATTTACTTGTGCTTTGCAAAAATCGTGCTAAAATTTTTCTCCGTTTAATTTTAGTAAAAAATTTACACAATCTACTGACTGGTATTTCATATTATTAAATAATCGACTAGTAAAATTTTAAAACTTTTAAAAGTAAATTTAAGATAAAAAATGGTTTTTGTTTTCTTCAAACTTTTATTTTTATTTGGAGTATCATCAGTGAAAAAATAGGCCCATGTGAGGATGATCATATTTCTCTACATTGCCCAATATTGAGATATCTCCCTACATCGGCTCATTATAATATAATTATTCCCTAAAAAATCATCCACATTGAAATTAAGTGATATTTTGTAAAACAAACTTGATGACACCCCTATTATTTAAGTTAGAAACATAAATTATAGGTCAGCTTGACCTGGAAATTGAAATAAGACTTATGGAAGACTTTTGATGACTTATAGATATTTTCCGTCGTCGTTGTGTTTTAATTTTTATTTAAACCAGCTTTAAACAATAAAAATTTTCAGATTTCTGGTTGCTAGTATTTCAGCTTAAAATATGATGCGTCCGTGGAAACCATGACTTACGTGCATTATTTATTTTCGCTCTTACTATTAAATATCAAATATCGTCATGTCATTGCTTAGATAAGACTACCCGAAATCCCATTTGATATTCGAGAAATTATTGATGACATTGTTCAGACAAGTGGCAAGAAAACCCAAACAATGGGGCCTCATCTTTCCTAAAAGAGACTTATCTTATCTCACCCTGAAAATGATTGGATTGTCAACGTGTAAATTTTAATACTCCAAAAGTTCAGAAATAATGCAATCAATAATATCTGAAGTGTAGATTGTGCACCAGCATATTTATATAAAGGACCGTGGACGAACATTTGTGCACTTTTTGTTCTCTACAGAAGTTGTAAGACAAAAAGATCGCAGGATGTGGAATGCAATTTTTGGAAGGTAAATTTTCTTCAAAATTCTTAATTTTAAAATTGGCCATCAATATAATTTGTGTTTCAGCTCTGACACTCCGGCTCCAACAGCTTTGGAGGTAACTTTTTCACTAAATGGAAATCAAGTGACAGGTATTTTCTCTAATTAAGTAATTTTTGGTAATTTTAAATTTATTCTTGAAATGGTGTAAAAGGAAATTTAAAAAACCGAATTTTTATTTAGTTATCACAAGGATTTCTTGCAGCATTATATTATAATTATCCTTGTTTATTTGTGCAAATTGTTACGTCACATTTTTTACATTCAATTTTTGAAAACAAATTTATTTGAACAAAACCGCACCACCACTAGCAAGAATTTTGCTAAAATTTCCGAGATAAAAAAACTCCATCCTCCGCAGTGGGCCTTGGTTGACTTGGATTTTGTTCTTATCACTTAGTTTTGTTCTTATGACTGATCACAAATTCTGCCACATATAGCTTAATTTATTTTTTTAATCAGAAATTTACAAAAAAATAATAAAATTGATAATTTACAAAATTTGCAGCAATAATTAATTGAAAAGAATATAAATACATATTTAGATTGTTATTAAAGATTTTTGTAAATAGCAGTTCACAAATGAAACAAGACTTACGCCGGAGATATTGAATTTTATGAATTCTTTAATAATTTTAACAATTTCATTAAAATTTTGGAATCTAGTTGGAAGCGAGACGGCCGAAGGGACAACCCTGAACACGTATATTCGCAATGTGGCGAAACTGACGGGCACAAAGTTCATGTGCGTCGAGGGCGGGTGCGGGGCGTGCTTGGTGGCCGCCACAGTCGAGCACCCTGTCACCAAGGTCAAGGAGACTTTTTCCGTCAACTCAGTACGTACCCATGCTCTGATTACAGCAATTTGATTGCAATGTAATAATTGTTATCGAAAAGTGCTTGGTGCCTGTGTTTGCGTGTCACGGATGGGAAATCCTGACGGTCGAGGGAATCGGCAGCAAACGCAATGGCTTCCACCCTGTGCAGGCCAACTTGGCCCAATTCAACGGTACCCAGTGCGGATTCTGCTCACCCGGCATGGTCATGAACATGTACAGGTAAGAGTAAAAAAATCAGATGAAATGGAAAAGATTAATTTTTGATTATTAATGTCCGACAAATATTGGGTTATTTTTTATGAAAGCAGAAAGGGTTAAATTTTTCTAATCCAAATTTGAATTTCGAATTATATATTTCATAACTCGCCACGTTTGCGTTCAAACTGAAATTTATAAAAATGTGAAAATTTAATTTAAAAGCTAGAAATTTACTTTGAATGATAATCAAAATTTAATTGTAATTATTAATGTAAAATATCATAGCATAGTTTTAAATATGAAAATATTACAAAATATTTAATTATAATTTTTTAGTTCCTTATCTAAATTTCTAAAAAAATATCATAAAACTCTAAAAGTATACAAATTGGAAAGATATACTGCAAAAAAAGGTAATTTAAAACCATTTTTATTATATTATGTAATTTTTTAATGTTTTAATTGTTTTTATTATAAATTATAATTTGTTTCAAAATTGTGCTAACATTTAAAAACAATTTTCTGTCTGACCAAAACCAATTTTTTTTTTTTTTTTTGTAATTAAAATTGCTTCAAATTTATTCAGCTTGGTTGCCGGTGGCAAAACGCCCACCATGGCTGAGGTTGAAAACTCATTTGGTGGCAATATCTGCCGGTGCACTGGATATCGTCCTATTCTGGATGCCTTCAAGGCCCTCGCAAGTGACGCTCCGCCAACCATGAAGAAGCAGTGTTCTGATATCGAGGTAAATAATTACCAAAATGAAAATCATATTGAAAAAAATCACTCCTCCCATCAGGACATGTACAAGATTTGCAAAAAGACCGGACAGGCGTGCTCTGGGTCGTGCAAAAAAGAGGAGATTTCCAAGTCGGTGAAAATCGCGACGGCCAATTGGTACAAAGTGGCCACCCTGGCCGAACTGTTCGGTGTGATCGGCTCGCTGGGCACGACGATTTACCAGTTGTCGGCGGGCAACACGGCTGAGGGCGTCTATCGCCACTACAACCGCCAGTTCGACGCCCGCGTCGACGTCAAGGACGTGCCCGACCTGCGCGCAATCAATACCACCGGCGGCTTCACCGTCGGCGCCAACGTGACCCTGACCGAGGCCATCGCCGCCTTCAAGGCCCAGGCGGCCACCGCCGGCTACGCGTACCTCACCGAGCTGGCCAACCACCTTGACCTCGTCGCAAACACCCCCGTCAGAAATGTAAATTAATTATAATTTTTTTACTTTTTTGAATTAAAACTAATTTTTTCAAAGGTCGGAACCCTGGCTGGAAACTTGGTGCTGAAAAAAGACCACAATGAATTCCCGTCAGACGTTTTTGTCATTCTGGAGGCTGTAGGCGCCACTCTTAATATCTGTATGTAATTTTAAAATGAAATTTATTTGCCGTTTTAAATTCATTTTAAACTTTTCTGTTTTTCTTTGTTGAAATTCAGTGTCAAACCCAACTACATCTGCCAACGTGACTTTGACTGATTTCCTCACATATGATTTGAAAGGAAAAGTCATCTTGAATATATCATTCCCCGCTTTTGAAGAAAACCATCGCTTCAAGTCGTTCAAGGTATTCTAAAGAAATAAATTTTAAAATTACAGCATACAAATAAATTGAAAGATATAATTTTCTGATTTTAAATTTTTACAATTCCTATCTTGGACATATTTTTTGTGTTTCTAGATTATGCCCAGAAAGCAAAACGCCCATGCGTATGTGAGCGCCGGATTCCGCATCAGAGTTGCGGACACAACCAACTGGAATGTCAATGAACAGCCGCGCATCGTCTTCGCTGGGATCAACCCAACATTTGTTAGTTTTTAATAACTCACATTTTCTTTTTTTTTTGCACAAACCTTTAACTTTTTTGTGATATTCTAGAGCCACGCAACCAACACTGAAAACTACTTGGTGGGCAGAAATTTGCTTGACGCCTCCACCGTGCTCGGAGCTATTGCAATTTTGGCGTCAGAACTTGTGCCCGACAACCAGCCCGAGGATGCCAGTCCCGAGTACAGAAAACTAGTGGCCCAGGGGGTGTTCTACAAGTTCCTGCTTGGTCTCGATCCTAACAGGGTATTTTATTATATTTTTCAACCACTTGTAAACAATTCAGTTTAAATTTTAACTAAAAAAAATTTCATTCAAATTCATTGAAAGATCAAAAGGTGCGACAAAAAATTTTAAATTGATGATGATGACTTGGCTACTTTTATTTAAAACAATTAAATTCTGCCCTCATTCTTAAGTAAAATAAAAAAATATTTTAAAGAGTAAATAACAATATTTAAATAATTTATAATTTTAGTTATTTAATTTTAATGCCAACTTTTATTATATTTTTAACTTTATGAATTGATATACATTTAGCACATTTAGTGTTTAGATCGTAGTGAATATTGTATTTAATGTAATTTGTATCATCAACCTCCATTAAAAATTTGCCTGTAAGCAATATTTTTACTTTCGTTTTCCTTAAGGTGAAGTTTAAATAAATGAAATAAATCCACTTTAAATTTGTATAGGTCATTGCGGCAAAGCGTTCCGGAGCTGAAAACCTGATCCGGCCGTTATCCTCCGGCAAACAGGACTTTGAGACCAACGAGAGTGTTTTTCCCCTGAACGAGCCGATCCCAAAACTGGAGGCCGCGGCCCAAACGGCCGGAGAGGCCGAGTACATCAACGACATGCCCGAGAGGCCGGGCGAGCTGCACGGGGCCTTCGTACTGACCAAGCAGGCCACGGGCACCATCGCCTCCATCGACGACTCGGCCGCCCTCGCCACCGAAGGGGTGGTCGCCTTCTTCAAGGCCTCCGACATCCCCGGCGCCAACAACTTCGCCTCGCCGGGCTTCTACCCCGAAGTTGAGGAAGTACGAATTCCTTTCATCGATAGGAAATATTTCATTTAAAATTTTTCCTAGGTTTTCTGCAGCGGCCAGATTCGATATGCAGGTCAGGTAGTGGGCTTGGTGGTCGCCAAAAGCAGGGCGATTGCCATTCAGGCTGCTGGTCTCGTCCAAATCCAGTACAACAATGCAAACGCTGAGAAACCAATCCTCAATGTGAAAGATGTGATTAAGATGGTTGGAGACCGGACTCGCGTGGTCCAAAGGAAGAAGCCCAATAATAAGAAAACGGGAAAGGAAAATGAAGTGAAACGTAATTTGAAGAAAAAAACATTATACTTTCCCAAATTATACATTTTTTATTTATTTCAAATTTGAGAAATGACCTTTTAAAAGCTGAACTAGATCAAAATTATTCCCATCAGCATGCTCCCTGTTATAAACTGTTATATAACTATTAATTTTAATTTCAAATATTTTATTCAATTTTTTTTTACCAAATACTCTAATAAATAAGATTAACTCAAAATAGTTAATTTATATTTTGTTCTTTCTTGTCAACTTTAGAGAAAAAAATACTAATTTCTATGAAAATCTTAACAAATGAACCTATCATGAATGTTTATTATTCAATTTCAGCAAAAGCAGCCTACACCATTACTGGCTCCTTCGAGATTGGAGCGCAGTACCACATGCACATGGAGACGCAAACGTGCATTGTGGTGCCCGTCGAGGACGGACTTGACGTTTACTCTGCCACTCAGTGGATCGACTTTACGCAGCAGGTCATTTCAGAAGTCCTCAACATTCAACAAAACAGGTTAATTTTAGTAATAAAAAAGTTAAAACGTTTGCATTGGAATTTTTTGAAACAGAATTAACGTGACTGTGCGCCGACTTGGCGGAGCGTACGGCGCAAAGATTTCTCGTCCAGCTCAGATTGCTGCCGCCTGCGCCTTAGCTGCTGATAAATTGGGCAAACCAGTTCGCATCGTCATGAACTTGGGAAGCAACATGGAAGCCATGGGAAAACGACTACCTTATGTTCACAATTACGAAGTTTGTATTAATTGTATTTTTTATTATGATACGAAAAATATTGATACTTCATGGTTTATTTCAATTTCATTAAAATCAAAGATGTTTATGTATGAATATGGAATATTGCCCAATTTTAATTTTAATAACAACAAAAACTCATTTTTTTTTTTTATGATGAACCTTCCGTGTAAGCAGTCATCAATTATAATTTCTAAACTATAGTTAAAATTAAATGTCTACAGCAAACAATAATTATTAAATTTAACAAAACATATTTAATTATTGAATTTTGTGTATTTTAGGTTGGAGTTGACGTGAATGGGAAAATCGAGTACATCAACTCGGTGTGCAACATGGACTGCGGCTACACCCCGAACGAGTCACCCTTTGATGTGCCCTTGCGCTTCCCGAACTGCTACGAAGCAACCAACTTCAACCTGGACCTGAAACCAATCAGAACGGACAAGGCCGCAAACATCGCGACCCGCGGCCCTGGCACCACTGAGGGGGTCGCCTTCATCGAGGAGATCATGGAGCGAATCGCCCGCGTGACCAAACTGGACCCGCTGCAGGTGCGTCTGAACAACATGCCGCAGATGGACAACCCCCTGATCAACATGATCAACGACTTGAAATTGACCGCCGACTACGACACGAGAAAGGCCAACGTGACTGCTTTCAATGCGGTAAGCTTTCAAAATTCCAACCAAATATGGAAATTCTTGAAGATCCTGACAGTTCATTTTCCTAACATTTTTGGAAAGTGAAATTGACAAAATAAAATTAACCATTCTTGGCCTTAAAGTTGATGGCAGGCCGTTAGGTAACTTTCAATGCAAATGTCTCCATCATTTTTTGATCAATTATTTCTTTTTCTTTCAAGATTATTCATCCCACTCAATTAGATATAAAACAATTTTTTTTTAAATTTTCTGATTTAATTTACTTTTTGATTCTAAATTTTTGGCACTTTTAATTTTTGGTTTTCTTCGTGTTCTAGGCGAACCGTTGGAAGAAAAGAGGCATGGCGATTGTTCCTCTGAAGTACGTGCTATTTTGTTTCGGAAATTTCAGTGCCATGATTTCCATTTACCACGGCGACGGAACCGTTTCTGTCACGCATGGAGGAATCGAGATGGGGCAGGGAATCAACACTAAAGTAAGGGGAATTTTGTTTCACTCAAACATAAATGAAAAATTATAACATAAAATCTAGGTGGCCCAAGTGGCGGCGCACACCCTGGGAATACCCCTTAGCAAAGTTTCCGTCAAGCCCACCAACTCGGCTGTAGCAAACAATGGAACGACCACTGGCGGAAGTGTTGGCAGCGAGAATGTTTCCTACGTAAAAATTCTATTTCAATTGATTTTGTTATAAATTGAAATTTACTTTCAAATCAAGGCTGTGATGAAAGCCTGCCAGAAATTGGTGCAGCGTTTGGAACCCGTTCGCCAGGGCATGGGTGGCGACCCGACCTGGGAACAGGTCGTCCAAGAAGCGTTTATGCAAACCGTCGAGCTCAATGCCACCCACATGTATATTTTATCTATCAAAGTCTGGAGAAATTTTAAGTTAAATTTTTTAATTTTATAGGTTCACTCCAGGACAGGAAATGTCCGAGTACAACATTTGGGGCGCGGCGATCGCAGAGGTCGAAGTGGACATTCTGACCGGCGAACGCCAGGTGCTTAGAGTTGACATCATCGAGGACGTGGGACAGAGTTTGAGTCCGTTGGTGGACGTGGGACAAATTGAGGGCGCCTTCGTTATGGGCATGGGCTACTGGCTCTCCGAGGAGATCAAGTACGACCCCACCACGGGACGACAGCTTAACACCAGAACCTGGGTTTGATATAATTGAAAATTTTCAAAGGATATTGAATTAAACGTTTCGTTTTGTAGAATTACAAGGTTCCGGGGGCCAAAGATATCCCTGCGGATTTCAGGATTAATTTCCGCAAAAACGCTGCCAACCCCAACGGTGTCTACAACTCGAAAGGTCTGTTTCAATTTTTATTGAAACTAATTTAAATTATTTTGTTTGTTTAGCTACTGGTGAGCCTGCACTAAACATGAGCATCGTTTGCTTCTTCGCGTTGAGGGAAGCTTTGGAATCTGCTCGCAAGGACGCGGGAGACACTTCAGATTATTACGAGATAAGTTAGCCATTGAATATTAAATCCAGCTCATATTTAATTATCTAATCTACTTTTCAGAGCTGCCTTCGACTGTGGAAACTACGGCTATGTCCTCCTTGACTGACCCTAGTCAATTCACGTTTAACTAAACAGGCGCATTATAATATCTGTCAATAAGAGAATATAATAAACCTATAATAATAATGGTGTGTATTATTAACTGGAAATAAAATTTTATTTCTTAAATAAATTTTTTGCTTTTCTTAAGTGAAAATAAGTGCAATAAAACAATAAAAAGTAAAAAACAATTAAGTGCACGCTCCAAGTGTGCGAGCCATTTCATATTAGAATGCAAAACTTAGTAGGACAGTTGTGGATAAGGACGTGTATTTTCTTATTACAACAGTACATAGAACTGTTAAAAAAATTTCAATTTGATATGTAAAAAAATTAATAATAATAAATAAGCAACTTTTCAGACCTTGCCAATCGATTCAACGTGTATTCGTTACCTTTTTGGACTAAATTTTCGCAAAAAAAAAAATTCACAACGATCAATAAGTTGTAGCAAAATATCCGCCCGCGCCTCTTACATTGAATAACAGAGACACGACCGTTTTTGAATTTTTTTAAAAGATCGAAAAAAAAACTACAAAATTTATTCATAATCGCATTCTAGGTCGAGTGTGTCCACAGGCCGCGTGCCTTTTTAGAAGTGCATAATTTAAGTTCATTTTTAATGCATTTTGAATTTTTTTTTCCTTATCGCAGCTAAATTTTAAGTGGAAATGAACTTTCGGATGAAATTGGAAGAGTAAAATGAATGATAAAAGCTAGCCCAAGCCGGGATTTGGACCCAACTTGCAGGCTGCAGGTGCGCAGCACCCGAACCATCAGGCTAGCGCAGCACATCCAGCAATGGAGGCAACAAAATTGTTTATAATCAATGCCGGCCAAGGGCTATGCGGATATCGAGCTTGGCACTGATTTAAAATAAAAATAATTAAAATTTTTTTTTTTTTTTTAATTCAATTGGCGGCGTTAATAATTAAATCCATGTTGTTTATTTTTCCGAATTCTTACACAAACGGGATAGGTGCTATTTGAATAGGCCTACTCAATTAAGGACTCCTTATTGACATAAACAAATCAAGTCTTTACAACAATAGAAGCCATCACTGCAATTATTGGAAAACAGTTGGTAATTAAAAAAAAAAAAAAAAAACGATTGTTGTAGAGAGAGTAAAAAACAATGACGCATTTCGGAGGTGTGGAATCACAACCTTCCGTTCTTAATCCTGGCACAAGATTTTTTTTAAATTTGACCGTTTTCAAACGCTTATTTCTCCCAGAATTCTCAGTTGTCACGCAATAACAAGTTCACCGTTGGCAAGCTCCTTTATTTTAGATTCAGAATGCTGACGCTCGAACCATTCCTTTGAGTTGCGTTATCTCTTTTTGTCCACAAAAAAACCTACATTGGCCATTTTTTTTGCGTCGATTTCGATTGTTGAATTGCGAAATTGGTTGACCCCTGACCGGATAACGTCAAGTTGAAAATGTGTACCAAATAATTAGAAAAATGAATAAAAAATTTGTGTATTATAGTATTATCAAAGTTTAAGAGCTCCGCTTGAAATAACTATTTAAATGCCATAATTTAACTTACATGGACACACCCGAGATATAAATAGGTTTGCTTAATTTGCATTAGGTTTTTTTCATGGGTTTTAAGCCATTATTCCGTAAAAAAGATTCAAAAATTCCAATTAAACGGACACTTACTAATAATAAGCATTTTCATTAAGAAGCTTGCAGGTCTACCTTAAATAAACAAAAAGTGCTTAAAAACTAATTAAGTAATTTTTTAGGTAGTTCAACTTGTCTCTTTAGAAACAATCGATTTAAAACATTCGGGCCCACATTTAAAAAAATTCAAAAGTCACTCTCATGTGTTAGGACGAATCCAGGAATAAAGGAAAAAGTCGGTTAAACCTCCATAAAAGTCGTAAAGAATCGTCAGATTGATTTCAATTTCTCCCTTTCATCACAAAACTTGTGTCAATTTATGATTCAGTTGGAATTAGGCTTCAGGTACGCGGTCAATATAATACACAAAATACACGAACATATGCTTAAAATATGTATGCAAAACGCTTCAAATTTAATATTGATTATAAAAAAAGTTTTTAATTTTATTATATTTGAATTAAAATAAGTTTTTAAAATTAATTTAATTTCTTAAAATATTTTAATAAACTGAACATTATATTAATTATTGCCTCTAACCGCAGACGATTTTCTCCCAGCCAATTATAGTTTCAACGCGAGTATCAGAACAGAATGACTTTATCGCTTTCTTGCCAATAACTGATGACAAAACTTTTGGTCGCTTCGTTTTTACTCCAATGGCCACGAAGAAAAGTTCGTAGATATGATTTATAGTAAATAAATAACGCCTTAACCGCAACATGATTGTAGAAATGAATTGGTGGAAATTAATAAAGTTGATAAAATCAAAAAAGCACCAGTAATTATTTCCTTTAAATTTCAGCGAGTGTGTCCAAATAAACATTCAATTAAATTCCAAATTAAATCTACAGCTTTAAATTTTTCCTAGTTAATTAATTTACGAAAACTATGATATGACGTAAAAGTTCTTTGTTTACATTTATGCAAAACAAAAACATGATGAAATTGCACCGCTCGCATCTGCCAAAAAAAAAAATCGAAAATATCTCCCTGCTTAATCACAGGAAATTGGAAAAGAAGGCGGAAATCCAGATTATAAATAAAAATAATCTTAAATCGCATCGAAACTAAAATTTTACAAAATATAAAGTGCAAAAATTTTCACGCAGAAATAAAAATACCGTGCTGAAGTTAGCGTCATCCACATCCACATCCTCATCCACATGTGGATAGAATTGTTCCGTCAAACTCGAGCCTCATATATCGCCATAAGGTTAACATGTCCACATCCACACCGTGTGGATGACGCTATCCTCATCCACATCCACATCCCCATCCACATCCTCATCCACATCCTCATCCACATCCACATCCACATCCACATCCTCATCCACATCCACATCCACACGTAAAAATATTTTAAATTGAAATTAAAAAATAAAAATAAAAAATAACTTTTTTTTAATTTTGTCAAAATTAAATTAAATTATCTTGTTATCTTCTGTAAAAATTATCACATTTAAAATCACGCTAAAAAGTGTTTATCCACACGTGCACCCTCCATCCACACCGTGTGGATGACGCTATCCACATCCTCATCCACATCCACATCCTCATCCACATCCACATCCTCATCCACATCCACATCCTCATCCACATCCACACCTAAAAATATTTGAAAAAAGAAATTAAAAATTAAAAATCAAAAAATTTTTTTTTAATTTTTCTCAAAATTAAGTAATATTATCCACACAACAAATAAAAAAGTTATTTTTTATTTTTATTTTTAATTTCAATTTAAAATATTTTTACGTGTGGATGTGGATAAGGATGTGGATGTGGATGAGGATGTGGATGAGGATGTGGATGAGGATGTGGATGTGGATGAGGATGTGGATGTGGATGAGGATGTGGATGTGGATGAGGATGTGGATGAGGATGTGGATGTGGATAGCGTCATCCACACGGTGTGGATGGAAAGTGCACGTGTGGATAAATACTTTTTAGCGTGATTTTAAATGTGATAATTATTACAGAAGATAACAAGATAATTTAATTTAATTTTGACAAAACACAGTCAAAAAAAGTTCCATGCCGCGGCATGGAGTTTGGCACCAGGTCATTTTCGAGCAAAAGTGACCTCATGCCAAGGCATGGCCATGCCGGCGGCATGATGGCTAGTTGGCCTGGCCTGCATGCCGTACCTGGCCTGGCCTGCATGCCGTACCTGGCCTGGCATGCATGCCGTACCGGGCCTGGCATGCATGCCGTTCGGTAGGCCTGGCATGCATGCCGCCCAGCATTTGGGATTTGCATATTTATTTAATAAATAATATAGCAATATTTTAGTATTTTATATTTATTTTTAATAGGAATAATATCAATCTTTAAATATTTTACATGAGATTTAACACTCTTTCTTCAATAGTTCCTTTGCTCCTCATGGTCCAAGAGTACAGGATTTGCAAAATCTGCAAGGAAAATTTTAATTAAGCTCTTTATTCACATATTTGGCTTTTAATATTTTCAGCAAAATAGCAACTCGTATCATAATTTTCAAATTTAAATTGTTGTAAATCAATTTTTTTTTTAATAAAAAAATACCTTTATAACTGCATTAGGTGGTTTAAGGCAACTTCAGTCAATATCTTTTCTGGATTTTCTCGGTTGAGAACTTGAATCTCCTCATCGCACTGAAAAATTCAAATAATGCTAATTTAAAATAAAATACTTTGAAATATTGTTTTTTGGCAAATTTATAAAGCAATTATTTGCGCGGCATAAAAATTTGTATATAGAAGCACTTATTCTTTAAGTTTAAACTGAGATTACCTGAAATTAATTTCCAAAAATAAAATAAGTCCGCGACTGCATATTTGACAGAGATGGTGAGAGGAAAAATTGGCTGTCGCGCTGCCATCGAATGATGAGCCTGATGAAAGAGGTCTGCGCTCTCTCGGCGCGGGGTGGACGCCGGCTAATTTACTCTTCATCTTGCGGTAAATTTTGGTCATAAACGGATTCCAATCAGCTCAGCTTCTTAAGTAAATCTTCCTACGAGTCGCACTTTGTCTTAAAATGTCCTTCCGTGCTCATTTCGACGCACAAATGATTAAAATTAACACCAACCGCGGCCATAACGCTCAACTCGCTCCGGTAAAAAATGTGCTCAAAAGGTTCGTTGGGCGCTCAGGGCGCTGGCGCGAAGGTCGCGAAGAGCGCCGATGTTGAGCGAGGGTGGAATTTTGAACCAGTAAGCGCGGGAAGCACCTTAAGGTAAAAGCCACCTGATTGGGCAGAATCGGGATTCGAGAATTCTAATTACATTATAATATATTACATATCATTTCAAATGAGTTGGAATCGTAAGATAAATAATTAATCTCATTTACTATTCCCAGATTAAATGAAAATATTCCGAATAATAATTTTTAATGCCTCCTAATAAATGTGTAAATTTAATATAAAAGAAATATTTTATAACTTTTAATATTACTTATTAGAGGCTGCGGTATGATGTGTAATGTTAAATTTCTAAAATTTTGTATCAACTTCATATTTTTAGTGATGAAAATTTTAATAAATATTTTTAATTTTACGACTTATTAAATTAACTCCGAGATGCAATCGTCGCATTAAAATATGAATTAGAGTAAAATTTCAATTCAACTTCAAACTAATATCCACCATAACTTCAAATATTTTTCTACTCAAATTCTACTTACAAATTTAGTAAAAACCTTTCTTAATTTGTTGAATAAAATTTTAAAGTTAATTATAAGCGCATGATAAAACTTGATTATTTAAAATTTTTAAATTTGACTACAAACTTTTATTAAGTCAAAATTAAAATTGGGTAATGTTATAGCACGCGCGACGTGTTTCCCAAAATCCCTGATTTCAGTTGGCATCACTTGCATTACGTCGCGCGTTTAATAGTGGTTTTACGTCGCGCATACAATAATGGTTTTACGTCGCGCGCTCAATACTGGTGGCGGTAAAATTTTTAAGAAAACCGATTATTCCATCGATACCTCCACAACATGTTTCTTTTCCTGTTATAAAACTTCAAATGGCAGTTTTTGGAAAAAAAAAAAAAAAATTGAAGTGCTTCGTGGAATTACAAGTGGCTTGCATGCCGTGTGAAGAAAAAGCTATGCCGGCATGATAAAATTTAGTAAGGCATGGACGGCATGGAATTACACCATGCCATGCCGAACCGACTCCATGCCGTGGTATGGCGACTTTTTAAGCGGCATGATCGAGCTATGCCGCGGCATGACCACTGGTAGACCGGCATAAGGCCGGCATAGAGATTTCATGCCGCGGCATGGAGCTTTTTTTGACTGTGAAATTAAAAAAAAATTATTTTTAATTTTTATTTTTTAATTTCAATTTAAAATATTTTTACGTGTGGATGTGGATGAGGATGTGGATGAGGATGTGGATGTGGATGTGGATGAGGATGTGGATGTGGATGAGGATGTGGATGAGGATGTGGATGAGGATGTGGATGAGGATGTGGATGTGGATGAGGATGTGGATAGCGTCATCCACACGGTGTGGATGGAGGGTGCACGTGTGGATAAACACTTTTTAGCGTGATTTTAAATGTGATAATTATTACAGAAGATAACAAGATAATTTAATTTAATTTTGAAAAAAATTAAAAAAAAAATTATTTTTTATTTTTATTTTTTAATTTCAATTTAAAATATTTTTACGTGTGGATGTGGATGTGGATGAGGATGTGGATGAGGATGTGGATGAGGATGTGGATGTGGATGAGGATGTGGATGAGGATGTGGATGTGGATGTGGATAGCGTCATCCACACGGTGTGGATGGAGGGTGCACGTGTGGATAAACACTTTTTAGCATGATTTTAAATGTGATAATTATTACAGAAGATAACAAGATAATTTAATTTAATTTTGACAAAAATAAAAAAAAAATTATTTTTATTTTTTAATTTCAATTTAAAATATTTTTACGTGTGGATGTGGATGAGGATGTGGATGTGGATGAGGATGTGGATGTGGATGAGGATGTGGATGTGGATGTGGATGTGGATGAGGATGAGGATGTGGATGTGGATGAGGATGTGGATAGCGTCATCCACACGGTGTGGATGGAGGGTGCACGTGTGGATAAACACTTTTTAGCGTGATTTTAAATGTGATAATTATTACAGAAGATAACAAGATAATTTAATTTAATTTTGACAAAAATTAAAAAAAAAAATTATTTTTTATTTTTATTTTTTAATTTCAATTTAAAATATTTTTACGTGTGGATGTGGATGAGGATGTGGATGTGGATGAGGATGTGGATGAGGATGTGGATGAGGATGTGGATGAGGATGTGGATGAGGATGTGGATGAGGATGTGGATGTGGATGAGGATGTGGATGTGGATGAGGATGTGGATAGCGTCATCCACACGGTGTGGATGGAGGGTGCACGTGTGGATAAACACTTTTAGCGTGATTTTAAATGTGATAATTATTACAGAAGATAACAAGATAATTTAATTTAATTTTGACAAAAATTAAAAAAAAAAATTATTTTTTATTTTTATTTTTTAATTTCAATTTAAAATATTTTTACGTGTGGATGTGGATGAGGATGTGGATGTGGATGAGGATGTGGATGTGGATGAGGATGTGGATGAGGATGTGGATGTGGATGTGGATGAGGATAGCGTCATCCACACGGTGTGGATGTGGATGTGGACATGTTAACCTTATGGCGATATATGAGGCTCGAGTTTGACGGAACAATTCTATCCACATGTGGATGAGGATGTGGATGACGCTAACTTCAGCATCATATAAAAATTTGATGAGAGGCCGCATGGGCCGGCTCAGCCCCGCTGCTCGCCTTACCTTTACAAAGAAGTCCATAGTTCCAGTCTCTGGTTAATTGAATGTTGAATCGGAGACCATAACCTTCTCAAAACTCAAAAGCGTTTGGAATTTGGAAATTAAATTTATGCGTCGGCATTGAAAATGATGACACAAACTCCAGCCACAGAAGCTTTGCAGCAGCTGGCAACAAGACGCGTGCGGACCCTCCTTGCCTTTTGGGCGCCAAACTTACGTAAACAAAATTCAAAAGTTCATTTTCATTGGCTCATTACGTGATTTTAGTTTTAACTTTAACCGCTAGGAGGGGGAAAACCAATCGTGGTGCGGCCCTATTTCCTCAGATCTTATCTCTATAGCAAGTGCCGTTTAAGTAGCGCTTCGCGACCCATCGAGTTAAGCCCCACTGACCAGTATAGGCCATATATTAATAAGCTGAAGCCGTTGACTTCTAATTTTGAAGCAATACGTTTTGAGATTATCTAATTTTTGAATACTAGTGCATAAATTAATTACCATTTTGGAAGCATCAGGGTAGTTTTGCTTCCGAACGGCAATCTCCGCTGTGCGGAGGCTGATGGGCCCATATTGTATATTAGTAAAGGTGCACCAGGCTGCCACCCTGATCTTGAAGCGCTGTGCTCGCTTACCTGACAATCTCGGGCTATAAAAGTCCCCCTTTGAAGGGTACCTCTGGAGGAGAGGTCACCGTCTTCAATCCCTGTGCGCGCCACTTCCAACTTTTTGTCAGAATAACCCAACCCAACTAAAATACCACAAAACAATCGATCAAAATTTATTTTTAATTTTTCCCTTCTCGTATGACACTGGGAAACTTTTAAACTTACGCATGGGCAAAGGCCACGCATCCCGCGAAAGGCGCCTTTTGATTTAAGCACGGTCTCAGAGCCCAATCAGCGTTTAGTTCTCGGAGCGCTGATGGCGCATGCGGCCAAGTAAAGAGACAGCGAGGGGAGACAAAAAGTGGGAGTCGCTGCTCAAACGAAACGAAAACAAAAAGGCAGCAAATCTTCATAATTAATTAGTTTTTGTGTAAATTAGTTTCTCTAGCTACTCACAATCAGTGTTAATTTGTTGTGCTCACTTGAGGTGATTTTCATCTAAAATCTCTCTGTTCCCGAGTTAGTAACTTCAGTGGATTGTGTTGAGGTGTCAGATAAGTTCCGAACTTTATTTTTTCTAAGAAATTTTTCTTTGTGAAATTAAATTTAATATTAGGAGACCATGGCTGCGCTAGGGTTTAGCAATCTGATTGAGAAATCTAGGAGCAAATGAGTTGGAGTCTGAGAAGACGGATCTTCATGTATATTTGAAAAGGTAAAAGCTGAAAAATAAGGAGCAATGGTACTTTTATGAATAATACTTGGTGTAGGATTTATTTGAACAGTTGAGTGCTGCGTTCTTGTGGGGCAGATTCAAGTCCCTAATTCGCATATACAGTCGTGTACTAACAAACAAATCTACAATTTTCGAACTGCAAAAATCATACTCCTTAACTATGAGAGCTCCAAGTCTTTTGTTGATGCCATAGTTTCTGTCAAAGTTGTTTATGTCCTTGCCATGAAATTTCAGGAAGCAGTCCTCAAATTTGGGCATTAGTTTAAGTAGCTTGAGATCATCTTCTTTATTTAAATCAGTAACGCAGTCACTGCAAATTTAAATATTATATTAATATTTGGCACTTCATTTTTGAAAGTGTAAAAAAAACATGCAAATTAAAAAATTATTTAATGAAAAATATTAAATTTAATATTTTTCCTTCAATTTAATTTAATTATATAAACTTAACTATCTTATTATTATTTTAATCAAGTATTTTATGGAAATTAGCTTCAGTAAAATAGTGTGAAAGTTGTAAAAATAAACAAATAATTAAATAACTCACGGTAACCGCTGTTCCAGGAAAGCTGCCATAGCTTTGAGACCTTCTTCTCTTACGATGTCCGTTACAATTTCTCCCATTCTCCTGCTACGATGATGGATTGGAAGTTCTTCGTTTTCTTCAGAGTCGTCAGTTTCCTCGATGTCGATTTCCATTTCTCGAACGAGGATTGCTGATAGGCAGTTTAAATCTGAACTTTCCTCTGATTCATCTCCAGCCCCAGAAAGGTTGTTGTCTGACTGCTTATTTGCCTTTTCTGATAGGAGAATCTGCGACATGATGTTGTCACTTGGCTCGTACTGACTGTTTGTTTTAGAGGAAAAAGACGACACCCGCTTCGACAGCAAGTACTGCTTCATACGCTGAGAAAAGTCAAGAGCATTTGGGTTGACATATCTTGATCCGGCTGCTCTAATCCAGCCAAAAAAGCTCTCCAGGCAGTCTTGCGTAAGTCTAGACGTTAATAGTTCTTCAACTCCATATTTGTCATTCAAGTACCTATTTATTAAATGAATTTTTACTATCTTAATTTACTTATTATAAATTACCTTGCCAGTCCAATCACAGATCTATTGGAAAGAAGAATTCCTTCTTGAAAGGGTATTATTTTCTTGTGGCTGCCAACTCGAAGATTCTGTATCATTTCATTCATCTCACTCAACACCGACTCCTGTTCTGTCAGGAAACGTCCAAAAGGCAATTTCATCTTGTTTGAAGTTTTCAGTCCACCTTTCTCACTGGAATTCATGACATCAAACCAATCATTGGTAGTTTTGATAAGATTTGCTGCCAAGGGAGCTGACGAATCTTTCAAAATTTGTTGTCTATGAAAATCCAAAATAACTCTGGCCATGGTGTCTGACAAAAGTTGAGCTGCAGGCCTTACTCTCATTCTTGCTTTTGAATTTAAATTTAAAAGACCATGGTGCAACTTGTCGGCAGCTCGCAGTTCAACACAACCACTAAAACAGAATATAAAATTAAATTTCGGTTAATGTTACTTTTTACACATTTAAAAATTTGTAAAGTTTAAATTATATTTGAACTGAATTTTATTCCTCGCATTTACTTCTTTTATTTTTATGTTTTACTTCTCAGCATTTTTCAAAGAATTATTGAAAAAAATCATTGTTTTTCATTTTATTTAAAAAAAATTTCCATGATATTTAATTGGTCATGATTAAAAAAATTAAATTAATTTTTTTTAAAGAAAATTAAACTGTCATTGAGAAAAATTAGCAAAACTTTTCCATGTATATGCACAAATATTAACCTTTTCAGATGTGTGATTGCTGTTTTTAGGATAGAGGCTTGGACTTTTCCTTCAGGTGTGACAAATCCAGAGTCAAGCAGGTGGTTTCGAAGGAGTTTCAGCATGTGTGGAACATCCGCAAAAAAGAATATCTTCAGGTTGGGATCAGAAGGATGTGGATAAAACTCGTTAGCACCACCAAGAACTCCCATCTCTTCTCTCAAGAACGTCCGGTTCTTTGGGCCGAGGTCACAGGTCGTTGCAACAACAATGAAGCCTGCAGTGTGGAGGGCCTCAACTACTCTTCGGTACGTTTGTTCATTCATTTCCTCATCATATGCGTAGTATACTGGCTGGTGCCATTTTCCGTTCAGTGGCCTCATCATCACAACTTGCGCTTGCCTGTGTGGACCAATGACTGCGTCAAGTCTTTTACAGTACTGTGCACGTTCAGATAAAGCAACTTCATCGAAGCTCAGGCACACTAGGCGATCTTCAATCGACATTGACGAGGCCAGTTTTTTTAAAACGAGCAGCACATTGGTTTGGAGTCCAGCCTCAATATTGATTTTTGATGCCCACCTTCGGAGAGTTGCCTGATGTGGAAGAGGCAAGCGAATTGTTTTTCTAACAAATTCGTAAGCTTTCCGGCTGCATGAGAAAAGAGCCAAAGCGCCAGCGATGTCTTCGGTGTCCCAGTTAACTCTCTTTTTTGAAAGAAGGGCCTTGATTTGCTTGGAGCTGAACATGCCTTCCAATATTTTTGTTGCCTCTTGTTCTCCCGCCTCTTTTCCATTCTCCCAGGCAACCTTCAGCTTACGATTTAGCTCTTTGTTTACTTCCTTTAGGTCGTTTGAGAGGCTTGTCAGCTCTTTTATTTTTTCCTTTTGTTGCTTATTTTCTTTTGCTGTAGCATCCCAAAGCTCATCCTTTGCAGTGGAACTTTGCTCCAGAGATACAATTTTATTGGCTTGGAGACGGAGCACTTTCAAGAGCTCTGAGTGATTTAATTTTTCAAACTCCTGAATTTGCAGTCTGACCTCCTCCGCTGCATTTGGTCCCTCGCTCAGCTCGTCGGACTTCAGTTGAGACTTTCGTTTCCTAGGCGTGTTCGAGTTCTGGCTGTTCATTCTTTTAAATGACCTAAGGGAAGTACAATTTAAAGTCAATTAATATATGTTCAGAAGAGCTGATTCTAAATTATTTGGTATTTTTTAAATATTTTATGGAATTTAAAAATTATCTTTAAAATTTTGTGAGAAGAATTTATTAATTTTTTTTCAGGTTTTAACTTAAAAGTTCCAAATGCCGCAAAACTGAATATTTCTTTTTTTTTATTATTTATATTTTCTGATATTTTCTATTTATTGCTATATTGATGTTTATGAATATGCTGAACTTATTTCCAGCTACCATTGCTGAAAATTATTTATCATTATTAATAATTATTGCCTTTTTGGTGATAAATTGATGCCTGCATTTTCCTCATGGCTTTCATTTTGCATATCCGATGTTTCTTGGAAATTGCAATCATTCTGAAGGTCCAAATCTGTGTTGCTGGTGTTACGAAAATCTATATAATAATTTAACTACTGTAAATTTAAATCTTAAATAAGCAATCTATTACATACCAGTTGGATCATTTGTAATGTCTGTAAAAACTGCTTCCTTTTCCTTGGCATAGGTATGGTCGTGAACAACAATGGAACCTTAAAAAATATATATAAAAAGTTTTAAAGAATAAGTCAAAAAAATATGCTTTTACCATCATCAGTAGTCTTATTTCCTCGTGCAATAACAAGCTCATTCCTGTATTCAAACATAATAATGTATTTAATTCATTCCTATAATTTTTCACACCAACCTGTTGGGATTTTTCTTTTTTGCTTTAATTTCAGCCAATTTAGATTGCACCTCGGGTGACAATGCCTCTTGTGATAGATGCAGTGTTGGGTTGAGGCCCTTCGGAGAACATCTACATTTACCTTGCCTTCCTTGCACCCTGCAGCACCAATTGTGAAAATCCTCAAAGTGGATGCTGCAAATCCGAAGTTTCCGGGCCACTTTCGGGTCGAAATCCTCCTCCCTTTTTCCGCATAGCAACCACCACAGCAAAGCGATTGCGTTATCAGCAGGAAAGCTGAAAAATTTTATTCCAGGGTGCGTACTGCTTTTGCAGTCGCAATTATCCATGCAGCATGCATTCACCATGTTGCACTGTATTGCAATTCAGTTGCTCGACTGCGAGGGCTACGGTAAGATTGAATGGGAGTAAGAAGTAAAAATGACTCATTGAATTTTATTTTTGACAATTTTTCACGTTATTACAGCAGTCAACAGGTTAAAAGAGAAAAGGCAGTTGGTATTTTCTCATTAGGGACGTGCCTTGTGCATTCTACAAATGCTTGCAATGCTTATATTTATACAAGGATTTATTGCTCTAAAAAAACGAATTCCTCTTGTTTTACTTATTCATATTTCTCAATTATAATTTAATTAATGTTGCAAATTATGATTTAATTTAATTCACAGCTAAAATGTTGTAATTATTAATATAATGTGATAACTTTTTTATGCGCGGTCTCTGCTATCCCGCTCAATACCCCTCCGCTGACTTGCCGCCACCAGGTGGGGAACACACCTGCTGCTCGGGCGGCAGACATATTAATTTTTCCCTGCTGATGCGCAGCCTTTGCGCATGGGTCTTGGTCGCAGCCGCAGTCGGTCAAAAACGGAGCCTAGTTTGGGCTAAACCTTACATTTACTTATTAAAACGACTAATTATGACATAAACTACTCTTTTTTTTTCAAGAACTAAACTTAGTCCTTCTCTTAATTCTTGCTCTCTCAATTAAAATAATTGTTTTTCGTTGCACTCGTCTCAGCTGGTTTAAGATATTTAAAGTTATTGAATAAAACTATTGTGAAGAACGCAGACAAAATTAAACAAGGTGTCAGTAAATAAAGCAACCCCACCCAATCAATGCCGGACTGAACCCAAAATTTCACTCAGGCCCGCCTAGATGTGGGGCGTGGCTCTCAGGGGCCCTCACCCATATAAGCCCATTGTTAAAAAGTACCAGGACCCTTCGGGCCTAGGACCGCTCGCCCGATAGGCCAGGCCGGCCCTGCACTCAATCTATTGTTACATAATATTACACATTAGCGCAAATTTTTTGATTAATTTCAAATTAAATTTTTATAAATTGTACTTGAAGTTGTAAGTTTGCAGTTCCTGATGAAATTCACGACGGATCCCCTGAAACATACTTACAATGTCTGTTTAAATAACCAAATTTTGTAATTCATTAAAATTTTCTAATTTGAATTCAATAAACAAATATTCATTCTGCAGAAAAAAATACCTTCAGTTGATAACTGGAACTCATCTCGAAGTGCCAGCAAAGCCTCCGCAGGAGAAATAACTTTAGAATCGGTCCATGGAATCCTTCTGTTTCCAATTCTAAAATATAAAAGGGGAATAAATTATTCCAGATTTGACCATTTAAAAGATTTGTCTTCACTATTTATTTGGAATATTTTTCTAGCTTATACCTTAATTTAACTTATCAAAGGTGTGGCAAGAAGGCGGCCAATGCAGAAAAGGAGAGGACGACCAGGCGTTGAGTTTGCCAGGGGTAGAAACCCTGAGAGGTTGAGAAGCCCCTCGCCCACCACACTATAAAGCAAGAGAAGAAATGAGATTGAAAATTATTTAGCAACATGAAAACACAAGCACACCTGCTCTTTTGGCAGCACTTTTTTTGATCCGGCCTCTGCAGGATATTCCTTTTGAACTGACCAGCTCTTTATCATGTTTCAGCATACAGTTTTAAAGCAGGCGTTGAACCAATTCTGGAAGAAAGTTTATTCAATTTAAGAATTTCAGCTGCTCAAGAGTATATTTGGCCAAATATTGGTTGACAAAATGTTTCCGTGACAATTTTAGGGAAATTTATAATATTGGCAAAAAATATTTGATTAAGAAAAACCTATGGCTTATATTTTTCACCACAACATTAGCAATCAATCAACTGTATTTTATTAATAGGGATCATATAATTATAATTTTCTTTTTTGGTTTGATAGACCAACAAGTTTTTTGCAAGTATTTTCATACAGAACTTTAGAGTGTCAATAAAAACGGAAAAAGTATTTTTTCTCGATAATCGATAATAATAAATTATGAAATTTGTATAAAACATTTTAACCTAAAATAAATGAAAAAAATAATAATAAAATGAAAATCTATTTTAATATTAAACCAAAAATCCTCAAATAGATGAAAAGTAACGCATATTTATAAAAGAATTGCATTCTTAGTTCAAATGGATTTTTTTACGAAACATAAATTTTTATAACAATGTCAACAATGTTATAATAATTATATCATAAATTAAATACCTCTGAGCGGCAATCAATTCTTGGATTCGCAGACAACATTGATCAAAAAGCTCGATTTGCTGATCGTGGTCAACGGCAAGTCTCGCTTCAGACTGCTAATTGTGTCCAAAGATTTTGACATTTCAGTCAGCCCTCGTCTTTCTTTCAAACTGGAACAAAAAGTAAAAAGCACAACACAGATGTTCTTTGGGAAGGAGGATTTTTTCAATCACAATTTTTTAAATTAGATAAACAGAAAAGCCAAATTGAAAGCCCGTTACTGACCGAGCAGTGGTCAGTGCTGGGCCTCCAATTTAAGAATAAGAAAAATTAAGATCAAAGAGAGTTAAAATTGATATCTATTGCAAATATTTTCCCAAAAAAATTAGAAAAACAAATAGTGCTCACCTTCGAAGAATGGCCGGGTCAGGGTTATTGCTATTCTGAGAGCCTGAAACAAATTCAAGTGAGATGGAATTAGAGAAGGAAAATAACAAAAGTTTCTGGGCTTATGAAAAAGTGATTTTGAACATAAAATGAAATAAAATTACCTTTATAGGGGAGCAGGAAAAAGGTTGGTCCTTGAACGTCCTCCCGGAAACTGCAAGAAAAATATTGATCATATCTGCATTTTCCTTTAAAATGTATGAAACATTACCTGATTTTTTCCTCAATGTTTTTCTAAATTTAAAATGTAATTATAATCAAATGGTAATACAAAATTAAAAGAAATAAGGCAGGTGTATTTAGTTAATTTACATACTTTTAATACAAACTAATAAATGTACAAAATTATAGGGTAAATATCAATTTACAAATAATTATTTACATGTTTTTGAAGCAGTAAGAATAATTATTAGGCCGCGCTGATTTCTTTGGTTCATCTAGTAAATATTTTTTTTCAGAGAGAATTCTTAGCAATATAATGCTTAAAAATATGATTTTTACTGCATGGGGAGCTTGTTTTACTTAAATCTAGAAATATATACATGAAACCTAACTTGGGTGAATGTAATTTTCAGATTGCAGAAAAGCGGAGAAAAATCTCTCGTACCCTCTTTTTCATTAATTTTTAGGAGCTGAGAGAGGGTACTTGAAGTAGTTGAAGTGATCAATATGATTGTCAGCAGGCAGTTATTTTTTTTTTCAAGCTCATATTTGATGGGAGCCGTTGATTAGCGGCTCGAGCTGCGCCTATGTGACTGATTATTCAATTTACATTCACCTTATTGTATCTGCTGGGCAGAATAATATTATTCGGTTATGTCTTTTTGTGAAAGCTTGAATTATTAGAACAGCCGTTACTTGCGGAGCTTGAGCTTTAACAGAACATTTAGAGGAAATGTTTTTTATCTACAATAGAGTATCAATGTAAATATATATTTACTTAATAACTATTTGACGCCTTAAATATCTAAGTCGGGTTTTTTGTTTTGAAGCTCACATTATGACGAAAGCTGTTAATTAGCGGCTTGAGCTTTAACAGCATATTTAGAGGAAAGATTTTTGTACGACAGAGTTGATGAAAATATTTTTACTTCATTACTAATTGACGCCTTATATTTTAAAAAACGGTGCTAAACATTTTTTTTTTAGAAGCTCATATTAGATGAAAGCCGTTAATTAGCGGCTTGAGCTGCGCCCGTTTATTGTGATTTTTTTTTTTTTTTTTTTTTTTTTTTATAAGCTCACATTTGACAAAAGCCGTTAATTAGCGGCTTGAGCTTTAACAGAATATTTAGAGGAAAGATTTGTGTACAATATGGAGTAGAAAAAAATATTTTAGCTTAATTACTAATTGAAGCATTAAATTCTAAAAACAGTGCTATACTATTTGTTTGTTTGTTTGTTTGTTTGTTTTTTTTTTTTTTTTTGAAGCTCACATATGACGAAAGCCGTTAATTAGCGGCTTGAGCTGTGACTGTTTTTTTAAAGCACAAATTATTAGAAGAACCGTTGCTTAGCGGCCCACAAGCTTGATTTCTTTCATAATACTGACTAATGGAAATTTATAAAACATTTTCCTCATCATTAGCAATGTACGTCTTAACTTAATAACTAAATGTGTAAATGATTCATATTTTTGATATTATTTTAAAAAAAATTATAACGATTGCGAATTTCAAAAAGTAGAGCGTGTGTTGGCAAAATAGTGGCTCTTGCTTTAAATGTATAAAAAAATAGTATCGGATGCACTTGTAAAAGGAGTGCAACTTTTGCGGTGTAAAAATATCAAAAAGCAAATCGAGTGTTGGGCAAAAGTGGCTCTTGATGCTTTACACGTATAAAAAAATAGTTGCTGCACTTGTAAAGGGAGTGCAAATATTGCGGTGTTCATTCGGTAAAAGGGACGCAAGGTGCTCAAGACCTGTGAGCAAGTGAAGCGCACCTGTTGCTGCAAGACCTGCCAGCAGGTGAGACTTGCCAGGGCGGTTGACTTTTTGCTGGGCGCGAAAAACGACGGAGAATTCATTGTTGGCGCGATTGGAGGTAAGGGGCGCCTGAGGTAAAGGTCGGGGCGATTGCTGACTTGTCCGAGGCTTCACACGCACGCGACCACCCAACGTGTCCATCACCGGACACGCGTGGATGCGACGGCTCTTGTGAACCGCCGGGTCCCGGAACGTCGCCATGCTACTTTTTTTTCTAGAAACTACTGGGACGTCCCTAGCAAAAAAAAAACTGAGCGTTGTGTAAGTGTTGGTTTGCGTTTGTGGGGTGTACGTGTGTTTTCAAACCTTCCATTTAACCTCGACTCTCATGAAATTCATATCACTCTGTTGAGAATCGTGGAATATCTTTGGCATTTAAATTTTGCAAGGTTTTAAAAGAAATGTGAAAGTTAATTGGCAACTTGATCTATTACATTTTTGGCTTCGATCAAAGATTTTTAATTAAATTGGGGCGCAAAGGGTGGGAAGCCAAGTGAGTGTGGAGTGAATTTAATTGTTTGTCCATTAATTTGACAAATTAATTTGTAAAAAAAAACGCGGCCGGCCTGACTGCTGCTCTCAGTCAGGCCCAACAAGAAGGTCAAAAATCGCCTTCAAATTTTTCGAAATTTTATTGAAGAACAAAAACACTCCACACAAAACTTGATCTCCTGGGAGACTTGAATTGGTTCAAATTTAGCGCTTTTTTTTACACTATGCAATTAAAGAAAAAATGGAAAAGATCGAGTTGCAAATTGACTTTCAATTTGCTTTTAAATTATTGAAAATTCAAATTTCTAAGAGAGACCGTGATTCCTAAAAAGTGACACTTAGTTTCATGAAAATCAAAATTAAACTTTCAGAATGAAAAAGGGTAAGTGTGCGTCTGACGTATCCTGTGGGATTTGTGTAGTCCTGCCTGAAAAAAGAATCGCTAACTGTGAATTTACGTTGGCGGTGCAAAAAAGAACAGCCAGACCGGACGCTGCTCGGAAACTAGAAACTAGCGAGGCTCGAGTTCGCGAACAAGGTTGGAGGGCTGAAAAAAGAAAAGGCAAAAACCTAAAAGAAAAAATCGAGCCTCGGAGCTACTTGTAGCCTCGCGGAGCTACGAAAGACGACGCTCGTCTGGACACCTTTGCCGGTGCATGTTTTACGACCCGTCCAAACTTTTGTTCGGACGTGACTCGCCCTCAATCTACCCGGCCGATCCCTCAGGCGCCCCTCGCCTCCAATCGCGCCACCAACAAATTGTCTGTCGGTTTTCGCGTCCAACAGGGCATCTCTCACTCCGCCCTTACAAAAAGAAAACCTACCTGGCAAGTCTCACCTGCTGGCAGGTCTTGCAGCAACAAGTGCGCTCGACCTGCTGGCAAAGTGACTCTGCAGGCCAAGAGCAATTTCCAGTTTCTATCACAATCAGACCTAACAAGTCTCATCAGGTAATATAAGTTTCAATTCAATTCTGACTAGAGGTCATTTTCCATCGAGACATCTCCCATATATCTCGAAAAATAAATTTTCTCTAAATGGAATGTTGAAAATTCTATCAAATAAATAAATATTGCTTGACCTCGCAATTCACACTGATCTTGTGATGAACTCTTAGAAAACTTAAGCAGTGTGAAATGCCAATGTCTGATATGAGACTTCTCTTAAAAACTAATAGTGAACCTTTTATCAGCGCGGCCGCTTCCTAAACCAATATGTACAAAAATATAGCACAAATATTTACGAGGGGGATTAAAGGCTGCCGAGTGGGGTTAACATTTTACTCATGGGCTTTTTCTGTACAGATATATTACAGGCATTCTAAACTTTGTTCTGCTCATTTTCTTTTTCCAATTTTACTGCTTCAGCCGAATAACTAATAAGAATGATGCCCTTGCCTAATGGCCACATGAGTAGCAGTTTCAATTTAACCTAAAATTCAGGGCAAAACTTAAATCTAAATTTCTGTGATATCTACATAGTACATTGAAGAATATGTATAATTAATGTATTCAAAATTTAAAAAATAAACAGTGATAAACTCAGCTCCATCTATACCTATTCCCTAATGAATATCGCATTTTTTTAAATTTTTTTTTTCATTTTCAATATTTTTTATAGTTATTTTTATAAAAATTTTCTGATATTCAATTTTTTTTACTTGACATCAAGTTTTCAAGTTTTTTAATATCTTTTTGATTTTTCTATTTTTCTCTTAAACTATTTTTTTTCCTTCTCAATATAAGATTAATTACTCGGCAGCCAAAAATATCTATAACTAATCGGGTTTGTGTACTTATCGAATTGCTGACATCGCAGATTCTCGCCATCCTCTCTGTATTGCTGTTGGTGCCAAAATGCGCTTGATCTGTAATCCAAAACAAAAGGAATTTGTGAATTTGAACACAATCAAACACTTCAAAAAGAGGACAACTGCTCAAAATTAATATTTTTCAATCCGAAAATGGATTCAAACAAGCTTGGACTTTATAAATCACAATAATACAAATACATCTTCCTTACATTAAAACAGCTTTTCGTTACATTTTAAAAAGACTAGAGTTGAGAAGGCAAAGTCAACAGTGAAATTTGGCTATGAAGGAGATCATTTTCTCACTGTTTTGGAGTAAAAATGATGAACAAACTCTATTTAAGATTTTCCTATCGAGAGCTTTGATGTGAAAAAGTAAAAACACTCACCAGCTGTGCATTCCGATTCCACAAAAGACATAAAAGTCATTGAGAGGGTTGAGAAATTTGTAGGTCCGACTGTGCTCGTTTCTCTCTTCTATAACAAAGAAAAATAAAAAAGGTCAGATTATTTGCAGGAATAACATGATGGTTTGTGAAAAAAGCAAGAGGGTGAGCGAATTAAAAAAGTTCCTTACAATTTGAATCTTCGAGAGGTAAACTTCCCTGTCTGCTGGTGTGTGGACAGGAGTGGTGCACAGTCTTGCAATTTGATGTAATCGATGTCCAGTTTTGAAGTAGAGAACAGCTTGTGCTCTAAACTGCAACAAATAGGAACAGAAATGTTGAATTAGAAAAAATTATTACATAAACAATAAGAGTGTTTTGTTTTAAAATATTTTAACTTAAAATATAAAAAAAGAGGTGAAAGTAAATCTTTCAAAGTCTAAACTCACCAGTGCATCTAGGAGTAATTTGCCTCGTCTTACTTTCTAAATAGTTCATCTGCAAACCCAAAAGCAAAAAATATTAAAATAGCTGCTTTTTGACTTGCAAGTGGTTCACAAACCTTGTTAGGGGCGAATGGCAGCCGAATCAGTGGCGATGGTAGAGGGCCATGTTGGCACCCCGAGTGAGGCAGAAGCCGATGGCTTGCTTTGCCTCATCGAAAGCTTGGCGCTTGTTCGTTCGCCGATCTCCAGGCAAGATGTCATCTGGGTCTGGCTGCCATTGCTTCCTCTGAAATTGGAAGAAATTTTTTAGAATTTGATCAAAAACTGTAAAAAAAAATAGTTCTTACCTTTCTACGCTCCATTGGCTGCCCATTGGCTTGAAGGGCGCGAGGAGCCTGTGGGTAAAAATAAAACAAAATTAGTCATTACAATTCAGAGGGAAAAATTCAAGAGTTTATTCACCTGAGAAACTGGTCTCACTTTGGTCTTCCTTCCGCGCTTGTTCTTGGGGCCTTCTTTGACCTCCTTGGGGGCAGCAGTGGGGTCAGAAGGGCGCTTCCTCGCCCTCTTTGGGGGCTCATACAGGCCAAGGGGATCAATCTTAAACAAAACCAAAATGAATTCAGATTTGAAATCTCCAACAATGACAAAAAAGGTTCTTACCTTGTCGACCTTGGCTCTGTTCCTGGTCACAACACCATTGACCACCTCCAGAACTATGGCGGCCACAGGTGCAGGGGCAGCAGCAGGGGCGGCGACAGGTGCAGTGGCGGCCAAAGGTGCAGGGATGGCCACAGGTGCAAGGGCTGCGAAGGCAGGGGTGTCGCCGCCTGGAGAGGATGGTGCCGGAGATGGCGGCGCTGACACTACAGGTGCCACAACAGGGCCTTGATGGGTGGCAGGAGTGGCCATGTCAAGGGCACCAAGAGCAGGGGCATCAGCGAGGGCAGCAGCAATTGATGCTGCAGCAATCTGGGCGGCCATAGGGGCATCATCAGGGGTGTCGCTGCTGCTGTGAGAGGATGAGGCCGGAGACGGCGGTGCCATGGGGGCGGCTGCTTTGGGGGCACGAGTGGCCGCAAGAGCAGCAGCGGCCGCATCAAGGGCGGCTTCAAGGTCGGCAGCACTCACAGCAACCACTGGAGCATCAGCAGGAGTGTCTCTGCTAGGAGAAGGAGATGCTGGAGACGGCGATGCCAGAGATGGCGATACTGGAGATGATGATGCAGGAGACGGCGATGCCAGAGATGGCGATTCTGGAGATGACGATGCAGTAGATGGCGATGCAGGAGACGGCGATGCCGGAGATGGTGAGGCTTCAGGAGCCGCGGCCACAGTAGCAGGAGGTGAAGAGGTGGCGCCCGGGGGAGCATCAGAGTCTTCGAAGAGTTTGCTGATCTTGAGGCTGGCGGCCCTGGCAGCAGCTCTGCTGGAGCTTCGGGTACCTTTTTGGTAAGGACCAGTCTTCTTTGCTGGTCTGCTCTTCATCGGCCCAGGGGCGGCTTTCAAGTTTGGAAACGTTCTTGGCAAAGGTGGCAATGGGGCTACAGTACCCCATCGTTTTACATTTTCCATCCTTTGTTTCTCGAGTTTTTCTGATATAGCCTTTTTCAGAGCTCGGCATTCTTCCGGAGACAACACGCGCTAGAACACAAGAAAAAAAAACAAAGTAATGTAACTATTCACTGCAGGGAAAGTTTATCATATGGCATTTCTTTATCTCAAGTTTTCATTGAATTTGCAAAATAATTCAGAATAATTTTACAAACATTAAATCAACTTAAATAAATTATGCAACTCAGACTTTGTATCCATTTGAAAAATCTAATGAAGTGGAGGGGATTAAAAAATAAAATTGGCAGCTGAAACAGCTAAAACAATATTGTTTTAGCTGTTCATATGATGCAAAAATTAATATAATTCTCACCCGTGTGCGCTCTTCAGCATGCGACTGCTCTGCAGCCGCACTCTGGCGCTTTGCGACCTTCCTCGAAGAGCCTGCCTCCTCTTCAGCAGGCCTTTTAGTTCCATGGCTAGATTGGCCCTGAAACACGCAATTTAAAATTTATTATAGGTTGAAAAAAATGAAATTGAACACCAATTGAAAAAAATTGATTTATAACAATGAAAATTTATGAAATATCACAATTTCCCAACTTTGTTTAAGTTTTACATAAAATGAGACAAAAAATAGAGCAGGAAAAGAAAATCGTAGTATATTAAATGGTAACAAGAGTTTACTCAGAGGAGTATGCCATTAAAAATAACCACTTACGGAACTGCTGCTTTCAGGTTGAGGGCATGCCTGCTTCTTGGGTTTGGGCTTGTAGGGGCGCTTGTAAGGAGTCCCATCTTTTTCTGCCTTTGCTCGCGCGTTGCGCACCCTCTGCATGTATCGTCTCTGTTCCTGCAACACAAATGACAAAAATAAATTAAACCAGCAATCAAAATGATTCAGGAGTGTGCTCATAACAAAAAATGACTAATGAAATTTTGTTTTAAAAATATTGGTAAGAAAACTATCAAATAAGCATGCAAGGAAGCAACTGAATTTAAAAAGGGCATTGTCAACATTAAATCATTTTTAAGTTTCAAAGCCTATAGTAAATTTGCTCCACAAACCATAGTTTTTCCAGCGCCATCCACGTCGTGGTAGTCAGGGGGATCCTTGCTAGGCGGGGGGTCTGCAAGCTCAGGGTGGCGGGAGAGGTTCATGACTTGCTTTTGCAAATCCTCCAACTTCTCAGATAGAATAGGAAGACCATCAGCAGAGATGCAGGAGTGAGGGTGCATCTAAAAAATGAGGATAAGTTGAAAAAAAAAACGCAGATTGATTACACAGGAATCTTTGACTCACTCTCGACTGCAGGACTTCGACGCTTGAATTGGCGGCTTTGACCTTTCGGAAGAACTGCAACATTGGCAAAATCAGATCACAAGGCTCAAGAGTTAAAGGCAAAAATATTTACCGTGTTCATGACAAACTTTGAGATGCCACCTTCCGTCTTGATCAAGTCAAGAGCCTTTTGATACTCGACTGGGTCGGCGCCCATTCTCTCCTAGGCAACACAAGAGGTTGAATTTTAATTTTAATTCAAAACTGACGTTTGCTTTATTTGCAACCAAGCTTTATGGAGTGAATTGAAATCAAAATAGAACATTAGATATGATTATTTTTTTGTCACATAATGTCCTTTTGATTAAAAAAGGTTCCCATGCGATGGGAACTTCTGTTATTATTTAATTACAAATAAAATTCAGTTAAAGACGGAGATCAAAATGAAATGTTAACTCAATAATACAGAAGCCCTTGTCAGACGAGAGACCCACATCGTAGGCCAAACTGAATAGTATTTAATTTAATTAATAATAGAAATTTATGAGTAATTATTTTTAATAAAAGTATTCAAATTTAATTATTCTTAAATTTTCACTTACAATTTATACATGCTAGAATTTTTAAGTAATTTGCCTGCAGGGTGTTTTTTAATTCATGTTTAATTATTAAATTAAAACAAATATCGTGTCCTAATTGAGGTTCAATTAATTTGCACTAAAATTAGTTCATCAATTTAATTTATGTATCAAGAATTTATGGAATAAATAGTGAGGCAAAAAAAGTGATTTTTTTGTTGCGCAAATTTAAAAAAAAAATATAATATTTCTGCCAAAAAAATTAGCAATTAATTAAAACGCTAATTTTGGTGAGAATAATTCAGAAAATTCAAGCCTTGATCACAAAATTTTTCCTGTATTGATTTTAAAGTTTCAAAATTGAAATTAAATCCGGTCAGAATAATTTTATAATGTGGAAATCATCAAAAATATTTCGATCGATCGATGTTGAAAGTGTAAATTTTTTAATTTTCAACTCTTTATTCTATTTCCAGTTTTCAAACTTTGTGATCAACTTTTAATTCACTGCGGTTTATAAAGTATAACCGATAAAATTAAATTCATTCTTGAATTGCAAATAAAATGAAATATACATTTCTCCACAAAAGAAAAAACTGAAGAAGCTGGCCAATTAGCCGACATAATAAACAGACAAGGTGTAATTTAAACACTACCTTCTGGGAGAGACCGTGTCTTTTGGCCAGCTCGTGCACGTACTGGTACAGCTCTTCATCAGTGGAAAAGTTGGAGAAGCCGCCGTTGTTGCTGGCGAAGTTCCCAACGACATCGAAGAAAACCTCCTGCGTCTGGAAGGGCCCCTTGATGTGTGGGAAGATGGCGAGGGCAAGGGCGACATCCGGAGTGGCTTCGGTGACATCGCGCAGCCACCGCAGCAGCAGTTCGAGCTGAGCGCGCTCGTTGTGTCCATTCAAGAGCGCGGTCGCCCACTCGAGCCACATGGTAAACGTCACTAGAGGTTCACCACGGCGGATGACGTTCCACATTTTAATCGAGATCAAATTGAGGAGAGCATCGCGCCACAGCCCAAAGGGATCCTGCAAGAGTACAGTTAGAAAATAAGTTTAAAATTAAAAAATTATGCGCGCATACCTCTTGTTCGTTCAAGAAGAAGGACACGAGAGCCGCAAGCTCGTCTTGGCTGCAGTTATGCCACAGCATTTCCTTCATCTTTAACAAAGCCAGATACGGCTCCTCTCTGTCCTCGTCGAAATACATGTTGTACTGGAGACAGAAAGAAAAATTTCTCGATTTGAAGTGACACCAAAAATAATGTTTACAAATTCAAAGACACAAATAAGTAATTGGTAAAAAAAAAATTCTCATTTGTCTTTGCAATACACAAACGAAAGTTTAAAAGCAATAAATTTTAGCTTTGTATTCAAATTGAATACACCAGTTGCGTAATTTATTGATATTATTGGCATTTAAGAATGATTTAACCATTTCAATCCTAAGATATTTTATACTAGTTGCAAAATTAAAATAGTGGCGTAGGAAAAATCAAAATTGGTCCTGAGTGGGGCTGTAGTTAGGTGACCAAAGAATTTTAAATTAGGTAACGAAAGGCAATTTTTGTGGTTCTTTTGCAATTATTTGGCTACAGCCTCACGCTGAACCAATTTTGATTCCTCCAATGCCAGTATGAAAATAAAATCGCTAAGCAGGAGGCCAATCTTTGATAAAGAAACGCAACTGTTTTTGACATGCCGACCAAAAGTAACTTGAAAGCTGTCATTGACGACGACCTGTTTGAAAAATTGCCGTTTAAAAAATGCCCGCAACAGGAGGTCATCGGCCGACGAAACTGTGAAATTGAAAAGCGCCCAATTTCAGTTCGAATCTGACAAGGTGTGGGTCATGCAGCTTGTGCATTGTCGTTTCGCACGACCGGACGCCCGAGGAGCGCCAGCAGAGACGCGTTTTGGTTGGAGCGAGCAAAGCCGCCAGCCAGCACGGCCAAAAATTCGGCGGCGGGGCATCAAGCTGAATGGTGAATTTGTGATCCTGGGCAGAAGTTTCCAAGGAAGGGTTCCTTGTCAAAAGTGCCCCTGCCAGCTAGCGAGAGGGCGAGCGGGTGCAAGAGAGAACCAAGAAAAAGCGGACGGCTGCAAAGGCTACCTGCAACTGATGCCTTTTTTTATCTCGGAAAACTTGTAGCAAAATTCAAGCTATATTGATTTCATTTTGGAAAAGCTCATATAAGTTAAATTTAAGAAAAAAAAATGATAAAGTTAGTTAGCTGCAAGCCTTCAGTTTATAAGGTTAAGAATGATACAGTTTTTCTTGGTTAAAATATAAATCAATTTTTCTGTAAATTAGTAAATGAAGACTTGGCGCGCTCTCACTTTTCCACTCCCCGCTCCGCTCACCAAATTTATAAATTTCTTTGCTCCGCTCTCGGTCTGCTCTAAAAATTGTATTCACCCTTGCTCTTCTGCTCTTTTAGTATAATTATTTATTATTTTTCAAAACTGTCAAATTTTTAATTATAAATTAAATATTACTAAATGATTTTTTTAATCCATTTTACTGTGATGCATCAATCAAGACTATTTAAATATATAATTACGCAAATTTAATACAAAGTAATTTTTGGTTTCCATTGAAAATTTGCATCTTAATACACAACAGTGGAACCATATAAATTATAATTCATCGTATTTTTGTAACTTTGAATTCTAAAAGTAGGATAAGTGTTCAAAAGAATATGGGATAAATTTTTTCCATTACGCGCTTATCTAGATGCAAAAGGCTAAAGAAGCTTCTTCCATATTCTTTGATTTCCGCGCATGCAGCTGTTTTGATGTGTTGATATGCGAAAGAGAACATAGTAGTTGTTTGTCTCGCGGGATGCATATTTATAATAATGGTACGGTTTCCGTCAACAAGCAAGGGGAAGGGGGCGTGGCACCCTCCCCTACAGAGAGCAGGTCCCCCATCATCAGGAAACACGGAACGAACGCGGAACGAACTGCTGCGAAATGAAAACAAGGAAAAGTAGGCCAGTAGGCAGCACGCCGACGATGCACACCAAAGGGAAGCCCCACGACGAAGAAAAGCGAGAGGTAAGGGTAATTTATGGCCCCGAATGTCGGAAAATCGTGGAAAAAGGGGGCGTGGTCTTTATTTTGTGGGCAACATCGGGGTTAACGAGGGTGGCCGTTATTTTGGGGTCGAATTAGTCGGGAATCCCAGGGGGCAAAAGTGGCCGTTAATTTGGGGCTGAATTAAGTCGGAAAAAAGGGGGCGTGGTCTTCAAATTGTCGCCTAATGGGGGTTAACGAGGGTGGCCGTTAATTTGGGGTTGAATTTAGTCGGAAAAAAGGGGGCGTGGTCTTCATTTTGTGGGCTACTTCGGGGGTTAACGAGGGTGGCCGTTATTTTGGGGTCGAATTAGTCGGGAATTCGAGGGGGCAAAAGTGGCCGTTGATTGGGGGTTGAATTTAGTCGGAAAAAGGGGGGCGCGGTCTGTAATTTGTCGGCCAAATGGGGGTCAACGAGGGTGGCCGTTAATTTGGGGTCGAATTAGTCGGGAATTCGAGGGGGCAAAGGTGGCCGTTGATTGGGGGTTGAATTTAGTCGGAAAAAGGGGGCGCGGTCTGTAATTTGTCGGCCAAATGGGGGTCAACGAGGGTGGCCGTTAATTTGGGGTCGAAATAGTCATGAATTCGATGGGGCTAAAATGTTTTAATTAAAAAATACTAATTCATTTGTATTTGTATTTTCAGCGCATTCGTACCATGTCCTCCGAAGGTAGCCCCCTTTCATTAGATCGGAATGCACACTGCTCTTCCCCTGGAGCACATCCAGCTCTTTTCAAGCCACTCAACGATTCTGCTTGGTGCCTGCTGGCTATGAGAGGTAAGAACTCAATTTAAAAACATCTTAAATTTTTATTTTAAAATTAATTCATTTTTCAGCCCATTCAGTCTCAAAGTCAAACTGGGGTTTGAGCCAGAGCCCCAAGCTGGAGCACATCCAGCTCTTTTACAGCCAGTCAACGTTTCTCCATGGTGCCTGCAAGTAATCAAAGGTAAGAACTCTTTTTAAAACATCTAAGAATTTTTATTTTAAAATTAATTCATTTTTTCAGCCCATTTGGATGAGACGTCGAACCAGAGTTTCTTGCCGAAGGCCCAAGCTGGAGCACATCCAGCTCTTTTACAGCCAGTCAACGTTTCTCCATGGTGCCTGCAAGTAATCAAAGGTAAGAACTCTTTTTAAAACATCTTAGAATTTTTATTTCAAAAATAATTCATTTTTTCAGCCCATTTGGATGAGACGTCGAACCAGAGTTTCTTGCCGAAGGCCCAAGCTGGAGCACATCCAGCTCTTTTACAGCCAGTCAACGTTTCTCCATGGTGCCTGCAAGTAATCAAAGGTAAGAACTCTTTTTAAAACATCTTAGAATTTTTATTTCAAAAATAATTCATTTTTTCAGCCCATTTGGATGAGACGTCGAACCAGAGTTTCTTGCCGAAGGCCCAAGCTGGAGCACATCCAGCTCTTTTACAGCCAGTCAACGTTTCTCCATGGTGCCTGCAAGTAATCAAAGGTAAGAACTCTTTTTAAAACATCTTAGAATTTTTATTTCAAAAATAATTCATTTTTTCAGCCCATTTGGATGAGACGTCGAACCAGAGTTTCTTGCCGAAGGCCCAAGCTGGAGCACAACCAGCTCTTTTACAGCCAGTCAACGTTTCTCCATGGTGCCTGCAAGTAATCAAAGGTAAGAACTCTTTTTAAAACATCTTAGAATTTTTATTTCAAAAATAATTCATTTTTTCAGCCCATTTGGATGAGACGTCGAACCAGAGTTTCTTGCCGAAGGCCCAAGCTGGAGCACATCCAGCTCTTTTACAGCCAGTCAACGTTTCTCCATGGTGCCTGCAAGTAATCAAAGGTAAGAACTCTTTTTAAAACATCTTAGAATTTTTATTTCAAAAATAATTCATTTTTTCAGCCCATTTGGATGAGACGTCGAACCAGAGTTTCTTGCCGAAGGCCCAAGCTGGAGCACAACCAGCTCTTTTACAGCCAGTCAACGTTTCTCCATGGTGCCTGCAAGTAATCAAAGGTAAGAACTCTTTTTAAAACATCTTAGAATTTTTATTTCAAAAATAATTCATTTTTTCAGCCCATTTGGATGAGACGTCGAACCAGAGTTTCTTGCCGAAGGCCCAAGCTGGAGCACATCCAGCTCTTTTACAGCCAGTCAACGTTTCTCCATGGTGCCTGCAAGTAATCAAAGGTAAGATCTCTTTTTAAAACATCTTAGAATTTTTATTTCAAAAATAATTCATTTTTTCAGCCCATTTGGATGAGACGTCGAACCAGAGTTTCTTGCCGAAGGCCCAAGCTGGAGCACAACCAGCTCTTTTACAGCCAGTCAACGTTTCTCCATGGTGCCTGCAAGTAATCAAAGGTAAGAACTCTTTTTAAAACATCTTAGAATTTTTATTTCAAAAATAATTCATTTTTTCAGCCCATTTGGATGAGACGTCGAACCAGAGTTTCTTGCCGAAGGCCCAAGCTGGAGCACATCCAGCTCTTTTACAGCCAGTCAACGTTTCTCCATGGTGCCTGCAAGTAATCAAAGGTAAGAACTCTTTTTAAAACATCTTAGAATTTTTATTTCAAAAATAATTCATTTTTTCAGCCCATTTGGATGAGACGTCGAACCAGAGTTTCTTGCCGAAGGCCCAAGCTGGAGCACATCCAGCTCTTTTACAGCCAGTCAACGTTTCTCCATGGTGCCTGCAAGTAATCAAAGGTAAGATCTCTTTTAAAAACATCTTAGAATTTTTATTTCAAAAATAATTCATTTTTTCAGCCCATTTGGATGAGACGTCGAACCAGAGTTTCTTGCCGAAGGCCCAAGCTGGAGCACAACCAGCTCTTTTACAGCCAGTCAACGTTTCTCCATGGTGCCTGCAAGTAATCAAAGGTAAGAACTCTTTTTAAAACATCTTAGAATTTTTATTTCAAAAATAATTCATTTTTTCAGCCCATTTGGATGAGACGTCGAACCAGAGTTTCTTGCCGAAGGCCCAAGCTGGAGCACATCCAGCTCTTTTACAGCCAGTCAACGTTTCTCCATGGTGCCTGCAAGTAATCAAAGGTAAGATCTCTTTTTAAAACATCTTAGAATTTTTATTTCAAAAATAATTCATTTTTTCAGCCCATTTGGATGAGACGTCGAACCAGAGTTTCTTGCCGAAGGCCCAAGCTGGAGCACAACCAGCTCTTTTACAGCCAGTCAACGTTTCTCCATGGTGCCTGCAAGTAATCAAAGGTAAGAACTCTTTTTAAAACATCTTAGAATTTTTATTTCAAAAATAATTCATTTTTTCAGCCCATTTGGATGAGACGTCGAACCAGAGTTTCTTGCCGAAGGCCCAAGCTGGAGCACAACCAGCTCTTTTACAGCCAGTCAACGTTTCTCCATGGTGCCTGCAAGTAATCAAAGGTAAGAACTCTTTTTAAAACATCTTAGAATTTTTATTTCAAAAATAATTCATTTTTTCAGCCCATTTGGATGAGACGTCGAACCAGAGTTTCTTGCCGAAGGCCCAAGCTGGAGCACAACCAGCTCTTTTACAGCCAGTCAACGTTTCTCCATGGTGCCTGCAAGTAATCAAAGGTAAGAACTCTTTTTAAAACATCTTAGAATTTTTATTTCAAAAATAATTCATTTTTTCAGCCCATTTGGATGAGACGTCGAACCAGAGTTTCTTGCCGAAGGCCCAAGCTGGAGCACAACCAGCTCTTTTACAGCCAGTCAACGTTTCTCCATGGTGCCTGCAAGTAATCAAAGGTAAGAACTCTTTTTAAAACATCTTAGAATTTTTATTTCAAAAATAATTCATTTTTTCAGCCCATTTGGATGAGACGTCGAACCAGAGTTTCTTGCCGAAGGCCCAAGCTGGAGCACAACCAGCTCTTTTACAGCCAGTCAACGTTTCTCCATGGTGCCTGCAAGTAATCAAAGGTAAGAACTCTTTTTAAAACATCTTAGAATTTTAATTTCAAAAATAATTCATTTTTTCAGCCCATTTGGATGAGACGTCGAACCAGAGTTTCTTGCCGAAGGCCCAAGCTGGAGCACATCCAGCTCTTTTACAGCCAGTCAACGTTTCTCCATGGTGCCTGCAAGTAATCAAAGGTAAGAACTCTTTTTAAAACATCTTAGAATTTTTATTTCAAAAATAATTCATTTTTTCAGCCCATTTGGATGAGACGTCGAACCAGAGTTTCTTGCCGAAGGCCCAAGCTGGAGCACAACCAGCTCTTTTACAGCCAGTCAACGTTTCTCCATGGTGCCTGCAAGTAATCAAAGGTAAGAACTCTTTTTAAAACATCTTAGAATTTTTATTTCAAAAATAATTCATTTTTTCAGCCCATTTGGATGAGACGTCGAACCAGAGTTTCTTGCCGAAGGCCCAAGCTGGAGCACAACCAGCTCTTTTACAGCCAGTCAACGTTTCTCCATGGTGCCTGCAAGTAATCAAAGGTAAGAACTCTTTTTAAAACATCTTAGAATTTTTATTTCAAAAATAATTCATTTTTTCAGCCCATTTGGATGAGACGTCGAACCAGAGTTTCTTGCCGAAGGCCCAAGCTGGAGTACATCCAGCTCTTTTACAGCCAGTCAACGTTTCTCCATGGTGCCTGCAAGTAATCAAAGGTAAGAACTCTTTTTAAAACATCTTAGAATTTTTATTTCAAAAATAATTCATTTTTTCAGCCCATTTGGATGAGACGTCGAACCAAAGTTTCTTGCCGAAGGCCCAAGCTGGAGCACACCCAGCATTTTTTAAAGCATTCAAGGTTACCCCTTGGTGCCTGCAACTAATGGAAGGTAAGAACTCACTTTTAAATATATTAGAACGTTTTTTTTATTTTTTTTTAATTCATTCATTTTTATTAGCTTATTCAGTTCTGACAGCAAAATTTAGTGAGAGATTGCATTTGCTCGGTTTTCTCTCACAGCTTCTGCCAAATCTCTCTTCTTTTTCTTCTTCTTGGCTCCTGGTGCATCCAAGTTTGATCTCTTCCTTCCTTTATTCAATGCTCTCCCTGATTTTGAACTGGATGCTCGTCTTTGAATGGCTGCAGGGTTAACTTTTACATGTCCCCTCCTTCTATGGGTTTTGTTAAGTCCTTGGTAAATTGATACTAGGCCATTAACAGGGTCATTGCTCTTGTTTGCCCTTTTTAGAGCAGCCAATGTTTTCATAGCAATGGAATAAGAGCAACCTTGTGCCAATGCACAGTTCAGAAGTTCTTCAAACTCACTCATCACTTTTCTTTTTAGGTCAGTAGCAGACTGAGTTGGTTGTACTACATTATTAGTGATGACTTCATTTGGTTCTTCGATGGTCGGCTCCATCAGAATTGGTATGTTGCTCTCATCAAAAATAGGCGGATCGAAAGAGACCTCTGTAAAAAAATTTATTTATTAATCCTTTGAAAATCATGGAAATATATATATTGTATATATATGAATTTTTTATTGCAGTCAGGCTTTGAATATTGTAATGAATTTCCTGTATTGCGCTTAAAATAATTTCAAATGAAAAATTCCTCGTACAACAGTTACAGTTATGCATAAACCAGAAACCTATTAGCTTAACGGAAAAAAAGAATGAAAATTGTTATGTATTTTTCCATGTGTGGGAATTTCAAGCAGCTAGAGTTTAATTTTTTTTTTAAATTTTGATCAAAAGAAATACCTGATTCGGAAGCGAGTTGGGTCTTGTCCAGGAAAAAGTTTTCGTTAGGTAAATCTTCGCCCAGAGCTAAGAATGTTAGCAACTTTTTGTCCTGCTCATGGACCACTGGGCCATTCAGAGTAGCAACACCTTCATATTTGACTAGCATTGCCAAATGTTTGCAAAATTGGCCTCTCATGCCACTAGGGCATTCACAGAATCCAACTTTGGGATCCACCTCATAGTGATAACCTATTTTTGAAAATATTTGTACTGATTTTTAATTTGTTATTTCAAAAAGCTTAAAACATTTACCAGGAACAGTCTGACTTGGCACTAAGTAATTATTTCCTATTTTCAGGATTTGTGGCACTTCTTGGACATTCCTGAGCAGATGGCAGATCAAAGACTTGTGCCGACCGTGACGTCCATTTGCGTGGGAGAGAAGTTTATCTACCAAGAAAGGTTCTAGTTTAGTTGCCAGTTCTTCCGTCAGTGCCGCAGGATTGTAAGCTCGGATGCGTTCCAAAATCTTTAAATATTATAAAAAGTTTTAATTAAATCCGTTACCAGTAGTTAACTAAGCAGTCTAAGCAACTTTTCTTACGTCTTCCTTGATCATCCTCATAGACGTCTCACTGAAATTATTGGTTTCGTTCCCTCTTGTAAAGCAATCTTGTCGAGAATAAATGGCCCATTCTTCAGCCCTTTCTGAAAATTTTTGAAATCTTTTCACAAACTTCTGATGTTGAAGAGGCAGTTGGGAAATTTCGAGGCACACATCCCCAAAATCAGAAATGTCCTCTGCATAAAGCGCCTGAAAAAATTAAGTAACAGTTTATTAATTATGCATGTTCTCTCTCAAAAACAAAGGTTAACAAAAATAATTTTTTATTTTATTAATTTAATATAAATTGTATCTTTTTAGTTATGCACACTAAATTTAATATTACTTTTTTAAAAAGTCCCATCAATTCTTGCCTACTTTCCCTTCCTTCATTGCTCATCAGCCACGACCACTCATTTTTGAGCACATGGAATGTGCAAAGCAGAAGCTTAGCACTCGGCCACACTAGTCTCAATGCGTTTCTTTCTGCTGTAGAATCATCTGTCATGATTAATTGGGGACTCTGTAAAATATAGTGTTGTACGTATATGCCAATATTGTTTGTATTTATAGTTCAACATACTATTGCGCCTCCGAAACCTTCAGGGTAATTTCTCCTAAATAGACTAAAAGCTTGCAGGAAGTTGGTCTCAGTTTGCCTCTTAGTAATTAAAGCACACAAGGGAATCGCCCCTGCCTTGGTGCTAACTGCCAAAAGCGTTACGGTTGCATGCGTGGTGTCGACTGTCCCGGTTGAATCTATAAAGACCATTTCCTTGGCGCTTTCAATCGAGTGTGTTCTTTTCATCGTTGCAGTCACAATCAAAATAGTCCACTCTCCAGAAGATGTGTGGGAATCAGTCCAAACCTCGCAACCTATGTACAGTGGAGAATAACTATATTTTAAATTTCTAGAAATCTAAATTACCATTTGATGTCAAGTGATTTGACTCAATCATTGCATTTACGGCCTCAATGGGACAGTTGTCCATCTTCCCATACTTTTTCTCTGTGAACAACTTGTACCTGTAGTGAAGTGCTGAATCAGTAGGGTTGAGACCCGCATCCGCCATTGCGATCGACAACTTCCCTTTTGCTGAAAGTGGGTTTGAAACTTTATTTGATATGGAAATAATTAATCAGCATATTATCTTTTGAAGCCTAATTGGTAGAAGAATAATGTGAATGCTATTGCTCTTTGTATATGTAAAATTTCAATATTGCCGGGAAAACTTTTTTTTTTTGCTTATTTTAAATTATTTTAATTTGAAAAACATTACTTGGACTTGAGCTGTTATTCACTTTTTGCCTCAAATCATCCCTGATGAGTTTTCTGGCGTCTGTTGGCAAATTCCCCTCCTCGAAGAGCTCGTCCAGCTTGCGAATTGCTGAAGGCAGCATCCTATTCCCACGTAGCGCTGAACTGTTGATAATATGATGGACATGCTGGTGGTGGACTAAGATTTCTGCTCTTCGGCAAATTCCATCTAGTTTGAATCCATGTTTCATAAAGGAATCTTTGCTGATGACTGTGTCTGTCATCTGCAAATAATTTTAACCTTTAATAAGTTCATGCTTGTTGCAATTTTCAAATATAAAATTTAGTAATTAAAATTTATTTTGTGCCTTTTTGATTCTGATGTAGATGTAAGCTGGGCATCCCAGGTTGTTAGGCGATTGCTCTATCTTGTTTTGATTGCTAAAGGAGCAAACTACTTTATGACTGGCAGCAAATCTTAAAACAAAAAAAAAATTTATCATGAAGAATTTCAATACAAATATGCTTGTATAAAAAGTATCACTTTTTCATATCATCTTTTCCAGCAAGCCCATCTTTTAGAATCCATCTGGTATGGGTTAGTAGAGAGAAATTTTCAACCCAATCTCTGGCTTCCTCCAAATTTGACACTGTGGCCCTATAAACAGTGACCTCGTGGTTATTTTGAGGACCTGTAGTTGAACTGGGGCTCCCTTTTCTGTTGCGATTTACAACTTTAGTCTCGGTTCTCACAGTGTGGTAAAAGGTGAACTCTCGTGGAACTTTTAACGGACTAAGCCCTTCGGCTCTACAAATTTCGTCCATGACGTCCGACGGCAACCAAGACACAAACACCTGATACTAGATGTTTACATTTGCTATATTTTCATGAAATCACGTAATTTGAAACATATGTTATAATTGGGGGAGGGAGAAAGTGTGTAAACAATAGGTCATCGCATTTGAAATTTAAAAGTAGAGCTATATAAGATACAATATTTTGTTGAAATTGAAGGTTAGTATAATAAAAATGTTCCATGTTGAAGTTACAGTTCTTGCTGCATTTAACTATATCGCATACTCTCTCATTTCAATGCATATAGAACAACACTAAAAATAACTTCACATAAATTTGCATGTAGCAAAAAATTGGCAAGAACTACCCTGCTTGTCAAACAGGTGGGCATTGAGGCCACGACCGAGTCCATGTCGAGACCATGGCCTTTAATGGACTCGAGTTAAGGTCACTTTGAGCACAGACTCCGTGGCCTCGATGGACTCGGTGTGGTGCCCGTGGACTCGGAGTGGTCTCAGTGGCCTCATTGACCTCAGGTTGTGATTTTAATTTTTCGTAATATTATTATAAAATTATAAAAAAATTTTGCATCCAATTATTAACAAAAACATAATTTTGCGAAAATCATTAACTTTTTAATATGCAAAACTTTTTTTTTTATTTTTTTTTTTCATCTCTAAACCGCGTTGTTTTTTTTTCTTGCTGCTACGTGAAACATAATATTTGATGGTGCATTTATTTTTGGTATTATTAATTCCAAAAATGCCGCCAGTCGAAATAAATCATAATAAAAAATTGGGTACATTAATAATTAATTTTTCTTCTGTTGATCAGAGTCATAATTATAAAGAAAAGTTGAAACCAGTTTAAACAAAGTTATTTAAAAAAAAGGAAAATAAGTAGCTAAACGGAAAAAAGAAACATAATAAAAAGACAACTGCGATCCTAAAATTCGACTTTTCATCAACCAAGGGTTTCTGTTTTTTTTTTGGCTAAACATTTTTATTTATAGCATATAACATTTAATTAGAAAAGGATAGTACATAAAAAAATAAGATAATGAATTTGTGTTCAGTTAAATAATATAACAGGAAACATTAAAAATTAGAATTTAATAGAAAGTATATTTTTTAACACATCTCCAAAATATTTTTAGTAAGGAGAAAAGCAAAAATTTTGATTCTGAAAGTATACCAGCGAATGTAAGTAGCTAATTGTTATTTATTATTTAAATCAAAAGTAAACTTTCAATTTTATAATCAAGTTTTTTCAATTAAATGTTTTGATTTATATGACATAAAATAATTATAAAATCATTAAAAATTTTTTTTTTAAATATTAATAGAGCTACATAAAAATTATTTATTTTCAATTAATAAATTAGCAAGATAGATCTAAAAACTTAATGACAAAAAGTGTTTCTCTTGACACGACCTATCCAAATACGTATTGCACTTAGTGACCAGGTCACAAAAAGATCATTGACCCCGCTGACCTTTGACCTTGCCATTTTTTTCTATCATGTATGGCACATGGTTTGAATGAAGACATTAAGACGGTCATTTTGGTACCCAGAATATTGCTGTAGCTCTAACAAAAGCCGAGTTATCACAGTTTTTAATTATTTTATGTAAGCATTTTATTATAACAATTAGTATGTATAAGTAAGTAAAGTTATTTTAATTTTTCAATAGCTTTTTGGTTAAGATTTTGTTTAAACTGGTTTGATTTTATATATGAAAAGAGTGATCAACAGAAGATAAATTAATTAGTATGAAACCCTATATTTTCCTATTCCTATTATGTTCTATTTCGACTGGCGGCTCGTTTTTATATTTAATTAGAATCATATGCTCATTCAATTCTTGTAGATGGGACGGAAAAAGACTACTAAGGAGCTGCAGCTCTCTCTTGTACATCAACTTCTTAGAAATGGGTTCAAGATCATTGAGGAGATTGACTCAACAACCAAGCTGGGCGATTTTGCTGTAGGGTCACCACTCAAACTGGCTGCTGCAGACATGAAGAGAACAGTGAACAACATTCGATATCTGTGGCGTTCAGGCGGAAGAGAAATATACTTGGAGGTCACCAAGGCCTGTGCTTCTTGTAAGAAGAAATTCCAAAATGTCAACAATGCTTTTTGGTGCGATTATTGTAAGCACTTGTTCCATAAAACTCTGGCTTGCTCAAAGTACAAAGAAGGAGAGTGGATCTGCAAAAAATGTAACAAGAAATTGTAATGGAAAATTTATTACATTTTATTGCATATGAGTAACAATAAAAAGTTAAACAAAAGATTGGTGTAATAAAAAAATTAATTATTACAACAAATTGACAAAATAATAAGTGAACCACTTTTTGCTTCGTGTTGGCGCGGTTTAATCGCAGACGAGATTTTTTCTTCTGTTCTCGGACACACTTTTTGGCACCTTGACATCTCGGGCAATTTGCTCCTAACATTTTTTCATCTCATTATTAATAAAATAATAACGTTAAATTAATTTCTGATGCAGTCTACTTGCAAGCCATTGGTTACAGTCACACAAACGGAACACACCTTGTCAGGAGTTTTCCCAATACACAGAAATATGATCATAATTAATTTTAAAATTTTATGTATTGACCACGAGTCATAACATATTTTTCATCATTGTGGAACGTAGTTTTAAATTATATTAAATTTTTTTTCAACCAAAGTCTCGTGATGTCACAAGCAAAATAAAAATACAAAGGAGAAAATTTAATCTTTTTTTGCTTTCTATATATAAATTTGTTTAATGCAACACATGATAAATAAACAATT